CATCCCTCCAGAGTGAACTCCTACCCAGCCTCCTGACCACTCCCAGCATGGTGTGCCGTTCTCTGATTCGCCAACCCTCTCCCCAACCTCCATTCACTGAGGAAGGAGGATGGAAGAGGTCAGATAGGAGGGGTATGGTTCGACATGGAGAAAAGCAGTCCCAGCCCCAAATAAGCAAGCAAACAGTAGGTTTCTCATATCTGGAGTCCTCTAAGAGCCTTGGGGTCATGTAAGACATGCACTAATCACATCTTGCAAAGCAGACCGGTACTTCCACCCTTAATACCTCTACCATTTCAGAGGTCTCCCCTTCCCAGCACCACCCAAGAAATCTTGAAATCACTCTGTAGGAAAGACAGAATTCCATGCTGAGATAGTTTAAGAGTCTCAATGTGTTGTTACAGACAACATGTCAGATACACAAGTCAGAAAGGCCTGTGTTGGAAATGCCTAGTTCCAGAGTTCCTTCATTGTATGTTTTATATGCTTGTGCCTATGTAAAGATGCATTGTGTTCTGAAAGGTGAAGGGAAAGGAAGGAGTATATTCTTATAAATGACCCTTTCAAACACCTGTTGGATTTCATCTTCTGTGATCTTCCCTTCCTTGCCACTTAGGCTACCACACCATAGATACTGTCATAATCCAGAAATGCTAGAACTCTACAAAAACAAATTCAGACCTCAACTGTGATTTCAACCATCTATTTACCCCAACCTTTTGTTACCCCACTAGACTGATGCTACTCAAACTGTCATCCATAGCCTTGTATTAGTCTGAGAACTATTAAAAGACAAAGCTTGAGAATAAGCATTCAGAAGCTTTTATGATAATTTGACCTTGCTGCAACATCCAAATACATGATAGATCTGATGCAGAACAGATCTGATGTCAAGAATTCGCACAAGTGGTGGCAGAAGCTGCCTATTAAGGATGCACAGTAGGACCACAACTTCATTAATGTAAGTTGAGAACATGTGTTAAGATGCTCTCTGCTATCTTCAAAATTGAAAAAAGATGTTTCTTGCTTCTCCCATAACCCAGTCCTGGAGAAGAAACCCTTCTTGAAAAAATACTACCAAATCTAGGTGTTCAGCCTCTCCTCTGGTTTCATGTCCTTCTCAGCCTGGATCACCAGCTAGCAGCCTCTCCTCTGGTTTCATGTCCTTCTCAGCCTGGACCACCAGCTAGCACCTCTCCTCTGGTTTCATGTCCTTCTCAGCCTGGACCACCAGCTAGCACCTCCAGGAACATCCATACCATTAGTCTCAACCTGGAGTGAATTCACTTCTAAGTCAGGCTGCCAAGTGGTGCTGGACTCTGGAGCTGGGGTGGGCGAGAGTCTTTCTGGGATTGTGGAAGCAAAATTCCCTTCAATGAAGACCTAGTCTCTGTATGTGACTTTCTCTGACATAATATAATACAACACAAAGTTATGTTGTCATTTATTTATTGACAGCCAATTATTGGCAGTGGTGTCACTCATTTGCAACCATGGTCCCCAGCCGTAAAGAGCTCGAAGTCCAAAAGGAGACATTGGCTGGGAGGTTACTCACTTAAAGTGGAGGTACTGAGACCATGAGAGACAGTAGCATCACTGAAGAGGCACTCACTGTTGCACCCTGGCAATAGCTGGCCATCATTATCCATCTTTCTCTCTCTCTCTCTCTCTCTCTCTCTCTGTGGGGGGTGGGGGGAGGAGATGTTAGTTATGTCTTTCCCTTCAAAATGGAAAGGGGAGGAAATACACTGTCTGTTTGCTAATATTTTTTTTCTTAGACTAGATAATTATAGGCATATGCAGAAATTAAAACAGCACAGTCTTGTGCCTCCTATTGCCAAATTGGATCCTTCTGATACTTCCCTATACCTCTTCAGCTCTTAGTCTGGAACCTAGACCCTCAAAAAATACACTACTCCCAAGGAAGCTCAATATGGGCCATCAGATGCCACCATGTATATCACCATGGGCTGAATCATACACTCAGAGCTTGGTATGGTGGTACACTGCTGTAATCCCAGCACTTGGGAGACTGAAGCAGGAGGACTGCAAGTTCAAGGCCAGCCTGAGCTACATAACGAGACCCTGTCTGAAAAAAAAAATTATACACTCATTTAGAGAACTGGAGTCCTATAAGGGGAATTCCAGAAAAATATGGGCCTTGTCAAAAAAAAAAAGTTGGTCTTTATTTTTTAAGCAAATGCCTTAAAGCTTGAAGTCTTCAAGTGCCTGCCATGAAATAAAATCTCTTGTGCTTTTTAGGTTGTATACACCAAGGCATAACACCTGTCCTCATGATGATATCTTCAGCCTGCGTCACAGGGTCTAGCACATGGAGGGGCTTGGTAAATACATGCTCTCCTGTGAACCTGTAATCCTGTCCCCATGTTGTTTTCATAAATCTGAGCAGGACTATTTTTCCAAATACACCAGACCCAAATCTTTAAAGTGGCTATGTTCATTATCAGGCAGAACATTCAGTCTCATTAGGCAAACACAGACCAGCTTAGTTCTACAACCCACTGCAAAGCATGAGGACGCCCCAATAGGTCTTGGACGGTCTCAAAAGCATAAGACCTTTTTTTCAGTGGAGCTGTGCAAATGACAACGAACTCCATTAGCTTTTTTTGTTTTCTTTTTTAGACAGGGTCTCACTATGTAGTCCAGGCTGGCCTCAAACTTGAAATCCTCCTGCTTCAGCCTCCCACGTAGTGGGGATACAGGCATGCACCACACATCCAGCTTAGCTTTTATTTTTTTTTTTTAGTTCCAGTTATGGGCTACTTAACTACTTTACTACTTCTAAATGAAGGTCATTAAAATTTAGCATTTAGAAACTAAAATTGGCATGAAGAGTTTACTCAAAGCTTTATTTCAGTGTTCCCTAAGAAGCCCAGCTGTCTTGGATCACTGGCAGCTCAGCAAAACCTCTGCATGTGCCTAGGTGCCCACAGCTGGAACTGTGGGGAGGACAGCTTTATGAGAAGTGAAGTATCAGCCTTATGTAGAGTTGGTCACATTGCTTTTTATAAATTACCTTTAGTTTAGCTCTATCTTTATCAATTAGTTTGCTTGGGTTGTCAGGTTAACCTTACAATCTAGAGAACTGCATATTTGCACTAACATTATTTTTGGCCTATAATTTTCCAGTGGCTGCAACTTAAAGATATGTATGTGGTTTAAGTATTTCTATTGTAACAGCAGTGATATTTCGTTTGGTGTATACTGTTTATAAACTGATGCTATTTAAATGACTGTGACATAAACTCAACATATGTAAAAATATTTTTACACTCATGGGACATTGGTTTATAATACAAGTTTTTATATATAAACTCTGCAACATCTGCCTTTTATTTACCTACAGATCATAATTACTGGGGTTTGTGTCCCAACTGAAAGTAAGGACAGATGGACCCAGAGTCTTTGTACCTGCCAGTCAGTGTCACAGTGTCTCAAACTTCTCCATTCAGAGAAAACATCTGTGCCAATATCAGTGTCATTATCAAGAATAAATGCTGCCTAAGTACTCTCTATAGATCTGCAAAATGAAACCAGGCCACCAGGTATCCCAAGTACCAAGGGCAAGTACCAAAAAGAGTAGGATCTACCTACAATCCTGTCACACAAATGGTCCCAGCATTTTCCAGCTTCTTTCTCATCCCAGATTCAAAAATCTTGGCACTAAAATAAGCCAAAGTCTAAGGTACTCCCATCAGATACTGCCCAGAAAAAGTTCTTCTCAGCTTCCGACCTAAGAAGGGGAATACCTGTAGACTAGGGAGGTCTTCCTGATCTTTTTTTCATGGTACTGCAGAAGTGAAAGCCTCTTGCAAGACTTTCTAGGGACCTTTAGAAGAGGGGTCTAAACCAGGTGAACCAACATGCAGCAACCAGGTTCCCCAAGAGAATGAATCTGAACCTGCTGGATCTAGAGGAGAATCCCGCCTTCACCCAGATCAGATTCTGGGAAGATGTCTCCGCCCCAGAGGGAGGGTTTGGACTTTCAAATCACCTCAGCTGGTTCGAGGTCTCAGCCCCACCACAACCATTACATTTAGGGGGAGCAACTGATTTAACCAGTGAGTCCAGGCTCCTCTCTCTGCTCCCTGGAAGGATCTCCCTGCTACAGATCCTGTTCTGTTCTGGGAACTTCCGGTGTGGCTAGAAATGCGCATGGTGCCAATGTGCTGAGAGATGGGTCTGGGGAGACAGCAGAAGCTAGAGTCAGGGGGCTTTGGTGGCTGGGCCAATGGGCTAGGACTGATCTCAGGTATGGTCAGCCTTTAAGAGTGGGTGCATCTCCCTGGGCTTCTGTTGCCCCAGAGGGATAGACATAGGTTTGCTGCAAAATGAATGACAGTAGGCAGACAACAAGCTGAAGCCTAGTCAGCAGCTTCAGCTGAGAGCTATCTATGCCACAACTCATTGTCTGTGTTTTCCCGTGGGCCTGCTTAAATGTGTATCCTTGTGGAGCAATCAGCACCGAGAAACCAAGGACCAAGTTCAAGTCCCAGCCTTGCCATCACCTCAGGGTGCCCTTAAGCACTGTAGGCCTCAGTTTTCCCACCTGTCAAATGAGAGAGGTACATGAGATAGACTCAAAGGTTCTTTGTGGCCCCCGAGCCCTGTGCTCTTTCGAGTGTGTACATTCTCAGATCAAAAAGATACATGTGGCCTACTCTCTAGGATCCAATGTAACTGTGTCCTGGGACATGGTTATAACGAGTCATGTGAGCTGCATTGTGTGCTGGGAGGAGGGGAGACCCCAGAACAATGTCCTGCTTCCAAACCTCTTCAATAGGCGGAAGCCACTGGCTTCCTCCCTTTCCTGCCTCCTGTGCGCCAGCAAGATTGAGAGTTGAAGGGAGAAAAGGGATAGGAAAAATTAGTCCTTGCCATAACCACCCCCCCACCTCAAGTGGCCCCCTTCCAGGGCCTTCCAGGCCACACCTATCCCCAGACTTGTGGGGGCTGGACTGGGAAGCCTAGAGGCTGAGAGGCAGGACAAATCTTCCACACCCCCACCACCCCTCCCACCTGAGCCACCTCATTTCCTCTTCCTCGCATTGGGGCACACTGATCTGCACAGGCCAAGCATTCGACCCATAGCAACTGACCCCAGGCCCAGCTGGTCTGGCTGGCCTGGGTCAGCCTCCGGAGTATGGTCTGGCTTGGGCCCCCTTTCCTGCTCTCCATTTTCATCTTGGCCTCTCACGTTGGTAAGTCTTCCCTGAGCAGCCCACCCCATTTCCAAGCCCCAAGACTCCAATTTTGTACCCAAGAAACCCTGTCATATCATAGAGACAGACAGCCTAATGGCGGCTGCCATGGACTGGGGGAGGGGGAATAGAGAGTTACTCTTTAATGAGTGTAGAGTTTCAGTTTACAAGACAAAAAGAGTTATGACAATGGATAGCAGTGGTGTTTGCACAATGTTATGAATATTTAGTAACACTGAATGGTATGTTTACAAATGGTTAAGATGATAAATTCTAGGTTATGTGTATTTTACTGCAGTAAAAAAAATTGGGAAAAATACTGTATCATCCTTGCCATGACTTTGGTCCACTAGGAAGTGAAGTCAGCCATTGACGGCCGGATCTCAAGATCAGTGAGAGCAGCAGGGCCTTCAGGCCCCATGATGCTTTCAGTGAGTGCTCACAGGGTCAGTGTGTTGGGCTTAATTATTTATTGGACAAATATTTGTTGAGCACCAGCAATATTACATTAGCTGAGAGGCTGGCAACCTCCAGATCTGTACAGGGAAAGTCTGCAGTGCTGATCTATGACTGGTCTGGAGCTTAAATGAGATAATGTATGCAGAGTGCTTGGCACATGACTGGCTCTTGATAAAGGTTCTGAACAAGTGACAACAGATGTCTTCATCAGAGAACCAGAACGCAGATGCGCCTTTAAGTGGTTCATGATCTAGTAGGGAACCTAGACCACAGGATGAGGGTTAAACAGAGACAAGAGGAGCTCCAGGGGGCCACTGAGGAGGTGCCAGCTTATTCTGCCTTAGGTAGTAGACAAAAAAAAAAAAATGGAGTTGGGAAAGATGCAGATTTCTGGGGCATGGAAATGCATGGGAGAAAAAGTTCCTGTAGGGAAAGCAGGTGGAGAGGCAGTGTAAGCCTCAAGAGCTAAGAGCATGCCTATTATCCTAAGGATCATGGGGAGCCATGGCAGGTCGTAGGCAAGATTCAGTCACAAGGTGCTGAGTCCTCACTCTGGAGGACAAGTTAGGGAAGGCAGAGTGTGGCTACTTGGGATGGTCCAACTGAATAAGGATAAGGATGGGCTCGGGAGATGGGGATGGAGTCGACAAGCTTTTAGGAAGCAATTTGCAAAATTTCATGATTGCTTTGAGCAGCTAGTATAAAGCCTGGTGGTGTGGATTTTAGACTCAGACAACCTGGCTTTGCTGGTTACTAATTGTACAAACTTGAGCACATTACTTAACTTCTCTGAGCCTTTGTTTCCTGCCTATAAAATAGATATAATGACACCCACCTCCAGAATAGTCAAGATGATAAAATAAGAGAACATCAGTAAAGTGCTCAATGAATAATTGACATCCAATAAACATTCACTATTATGACAGTGGTAGTATGAGATGATGCCATAGTCAGTGTCTCAGGTGGCAGGTGTTGTCCTCTGAGTCAGGGAGCACAGGAGAGGAGCAGGTTTGGGAAACACTGGTACAAATGAAGCCTAGGCTGAAAGGCTATCCCAGTTATTGACTCAGAGGTGACAGTTAAAGCCAAGGGTGTGGATGAGCTTGCTCAAGGAAGCCTGTTGAATCATTATTTTTATCCCTTGTAAATGGAAAGAATGTCAACATCACTGGATGGAGAAAGAGTGTTTGGTACCTGGTAGGCGGCCAGTAAATGCCAGCTTCATTAGCTGATATGCTAAGCAGCAAGTAATTAAGTTAATTACTTGACAGTTAACTGGCAGAGCAGAGAAGAAGGGCCCTGGATGTCATGGAGATAAGGCAATCAAGGTGGGCTCTCCTGGATCTGGCTTGGACTCTGACTCCAGCTAGTCTCCACCCACTCTCAGTTTGTGCTCTTGTTATACAAAACCTGGACATAGCCTTCCTCACACCAGAAGGCTTTTTATTCCATGCCTTTGTCTAGGCTGTTGCCCTGACTAGAGTGGCCTCTCCCTACCCTGACCTCTCCCTTCCCTGTTCTCCTCATCCATAGTATCCTGCCTGACCTTTAAAAGCCTCAAGCTTTATCTCTGAGGAAGCATCCCCACTCCACCCTCACCTCCCCCAGGCTGGGGTAGGTGTTCCTCTTTCCTCTCTCCACCAGTACCCACAACCCCTGCAACTGGCAGCTATGTCCACGTCTGTCCCTCCAACTAGGCAGTGAGCTCTGTTCTAGACCCATCTGTGTCTGGGTCCATCTGCCCTGGGTATCTGCCAGACTCACCCCTGTTTCTGCTCCATAGCCCCCAGAAATTCCAGCACATCAAACATTTCTCCATTTCTGTGGTGACAAAGAGGGGGTCCTACAAGACACTCTAGTCTCAGAGGCTCTCCTAGCCTGCAATCCCAGGGGTGGGGGCAGAGAGAAGTGGCCCAGGGGCAACCTTGGCAGAGTAGTTTTGTCGGGGGAGAGGGGGAGAAGAGGCTTAACAGGGAGGAAACAAGAGGGAACATTGATCATTGCCTCTGAAAGCTGGGCTGTAAAGGGAAACCATCTGGCAGAAGCCAGAGAAGGATGTGTGGTTTTGTTTTTGTTTTCAGGATGAAGCTACTTGAAGGTAAAGGGCCAGAGCATATGGGAGGGAAGAAGAGGGGATGGAAATATCTGATGAATGAAATGGGTGGGGGGAAAGGAAGGGGGAGATGAAAAGAGGGGGACATGTTAGGGAAAGGAAGAAGGGACTCTTCAGAGGGGATAGTAGAACAGTAAAATCAAAGGAATGGGGTCTGTGCTCCTGGGGCAAGAGGGTTGGCTTTGGCTGGAGCTACCATGGAGTCACTGCTGTCCTGGCCCAGGCGCAGCGGTGGACCTGACGCTGTTGGCCAACCTGCGCCTCACGGATCCCCAGCGTTTCTTCTTGACCTGCGTGTCCGGGGAGGCCGGGGCCGGAAGGGGCTCGGACGCCTGGGGGCCGCCCCTATTGCTGGAGAAGGACGACCGCATAGTACGCACCTTCCCACCTGGGCAGCCCCTGCACCTGGCGCGCAACGGCTCACACCAGGTAACGCTGCGTGGCTTCTCCAAGCCCTCAGACCTGGTGGGCGTCTTCTCCTGCGTGGGCGGCGCCGGAGCAAGGCGCACTCGGGTCCTCTATGTGCACAACAGCCCAGGGGGTAAGTCTGGCCTGCGGAGGCTGGGGAGGAAGCCCCTGAGAAGGGTGCTGACCTCCTGAACCCTAACTCCACCTCCTCTCACAGCCCACCTACTCCCAGACAAGGTCACGTACACAGTGAACAAGGGTGACACAGCTGTACTTTCTGCACGTGTACACAAGGAGAAGCAGACAGATGTGATCTGGAAGAACAATGGTGAGAGGAGCATTTGGTTGTCAACAACCTCCATTACCCTGGTATCCTCAGATTTGGCCCCATCAGTATGATATACCTGTTATCCTCCTGGTCACCTCTGTCCTGGACCATGTCTTGGGACCCACCTGGATAGACCTCATCTGGAGCTTTGAGCCAACCTCCTACTGTATGTAGAGGACCAGTAGCCTGTGGTCAGCTACTTCTTAAGCCTTCACTCTCCCCTGGGATTTAGCAGGTGTGTCACATAGTCCACCTGGTGAGCAGCAGTCCCCACAGGGAAGAAACTGCTAACAATGTGCCCAACACAGGCCCAGGAAAGTCTAGGTTCCACCAAAGACCTACCCAGCCCACATGCTTGACGCCCAAGGTAGACATGTGCTGAGGCCTGGGTAGACCTGTGCATCTCTGCCCCAGGCCTGCCCAGTACCCTGACCCTACTGGGCCACTCCATGGAAGAACATTATTTTCCTGTGTAGCACCAAAGACACATTCAGACCCACAACCCCCTGGCTGACTCTTGCATCCCTGAACTTCTGAGGGAAGAAGACCCTTCCCTTTGGCCCAGGGGCTTGTTCCTGAGCTCTAGGGAGCTAATATTTGCTAATACTGTGGGAGAGCACTGAAGTAGATGGCACCTGAACTGTGCCCAGAAGGAGAAGTGGGAAGACAAAGAAGCCAAACAAAGAAAAAAGGAGGAGCATCCAGGAGGCAAAACCATCAAAATGCAAAGGCCAGAGAATCTAAACTATCAGATGTTTCTTGCAGGAAACAAGCAATTCAGGAATTCAGGAATGTTAGGGGTCAGGCAGGGTGTAGAAAGGTATGGAGCTGGAGGGTCAGCAGGGGCTAAACTGGTGAAAACAACTGTCAAGGAGTAGGGTTTTGTCCTGAGGACAGGGGAGAGCTTTAGGAATGTAAGTGGTGAGAGGAGCTAAAGAGGAATGTTATAAAGGAATTTCTCAGGCAGTGGGCTGCAGGATGGCCAGTGGCGGGTGGGTAGAAAAGTTCTGGGCAGAAGCTTTGGAGGCCAGGGCCAGGGTGGTGGCAGTGGATGTGGGGAGAAGTAGGCTGGTTTACAAGATGAGGAGGAGATGGACTGGACAGGACTTGGTAAGTTACGGGGCGGTTTGCAGAGCATAAAGAGGCTGCTCCCCATCTTTCTGGCTTGGGTGCCAGCATCTCATGGGTGCTTTCCCCAGGTCTGATCGCTATGCAGGGGCACGTTAATGTGAGCCCAGCCCTCATGTGGTGCTGATACTCCTAACCCACTTGTGTCCCCCAGGATCCTACTTCCATACCCTGGACTGGCATGAGGCCCGAGATGGGCAGTTCCTGCTGCAGCTCCAAAATGTACAGCCACCATCAAGCGGCATCTACAGTGCCACCTACCTGGAAGCCAGTCCCCTGGGCAGTGCCTTCTTTCGACTCATCGTGCGGGGTCAGGGGCAGAGGGCAGAGGGCAGATGTCATGGGTGGTATGGGAGGCTATGACCCCTGTGGGTTCCCAGGATCCTTGAGATTCCTAGGGCTACCCCAGTCCTCAGCATCTGTGTGCAGGTGGATAAAGGTCAGCTGCTGATAATATTCTCCTCCAGGCTGTGGGGCTGGGCACTGGGGGCCAGGGTGTACCAAGGAATGCCCAGGATGCCTACATGGAGGTGTCTGCCATGACCATGATGGCGAGTGTGTGTGCCCCCCTGGATTCACTGGTACCCGCTGTGAGCAGGGTAAGGAGGAGGGCAGCTAGGACCCAGGCAGAAAAGGATGCCTGACTGCAGGAAGACCACAGAATCATGGGGGTGGAGCATGAAGGGTATGGGTTCCTGCTACTTTGAAGACTGTGGTGCCCAACAGAGGCCCACATACTTACACACCTTCTTTCCAGCCTGCAGAGAAGGCCGTTTTGGACAGAGGTGCCAGGAGCAGTGTCCAGGCACCGCAGGCTGTCGGGGTCTCACCTTCTGCCTCCCAGACCCCTATGGCTGTTCTTGTGGATCTGGTTGGAGAGGAAGTCAGTGCCAGGAAGGTATGGACTAACTCACCCTCTATGGCCACAAGCTTGGCCCAGACACTTCACTCTGACTTGTACAACAAGCCTTCCACAGTCTTCTGACCAGTGCCCCCTCTACACCCAGCCTGCTGTAAACCCAGGCCCCATCTGTGCCTTTGTGGACTCTGAGCCATCCCTTCTAACCAGACCTCCTCTATTCTTAGCCTGTGCCCCTGGTCATTTTGGGGCTGATTGCCGCCTGCAGTGCCAGTGTCAAAATGGTGGCACTTGTGACCGTTTCAGTGGCTGTGTCTGCCCCTCCGGGTGGCATGGAGTACACTGTGAGAAGTCAGGTATGAGCATCTGCATCTCTGAGACCCCGCAAGACAAGTCAGCCCCCACTGGATGGAGGGGGAGCCTTAACCCTCCTTTCCCTGTTAATGGTCCAAGTCCTGCTCTCAGGGAGTGCATAGTCTGATTGGAGTTCTCACAACTCGGGCACCCACACTGTAGAGGGCAATAGCCCAGAGGAGGCGCTAACCAGTGTGAGAGAGTCAGGGAAGGCTTCTTGAGAGGCGATGAAAGCTGAGAGGACAAGAGAGAGAAGGCTGGGAAAATACAGGGAGAAAGCCCAAGGGTTTAGAGTCAGATTTGGGTACCAGGACAGTGAAGTAGGGGATAGGGATTGGCCTTTGAATGCCAGGCCAAAGAGTTTGCACTTAATATGACAGGGGCTAGTGGGAATTGTTTAAGGGGCACAAGGTGAATAGATTTGTGATGGAGAAAGAACCTCTCACTGCTTGTGGGGTGAGGAAGCAGGAGTCTGCAGCCAGTGATCAGAAATGAATGTGGCCTGCACTATATTGACTGTGAGGAGGATGAGGAACCTACTTGCCAATATCAGGGAACACTAGGAAGTGTGTTGGGAGACATGTGGAAGGTGGACCCTGTGGCATATCAGATGTGGGCCATGAGGGCCTGGAGCAGTCAGGCAGAACATCAGAGGCTTCCAGGTTTGAATGACTGGGCAGATGCTAAGGTCTCCACTGAGATGCAGAGCGTGGACTGAGGGCACTTTGGTGGTCACATGTCTGCCTCGTGGGAGCTCCAGGGTGAGTGTCCTCTCTCTCATTCTAGACCGGATCCCCCAGATCCTCAACATGGCCTCAGAACTGGAATTCAACTTAGAGACAAAGCCAAGGATCAACTGTGCAGCCGCAGGGAACCCCTTCCCAGTACGGGGCAGCATGGAGCTGCGCAAGCCAGATGGCACTGTGCTCCTGGTCAGCCCCAGTGATCCCTAGCCCTCTGCCCACCCCTGTCTCACCAGCTTTACAATTGACCCCACACACGCCTAACCCCTCAGAAGTTTCCTCAGGCTTTACCCACTAGCCTGGCCATGGCTTAAATGGGGTCAGGCTTGATTGGTGAGAGGATGCCACTGGGCCTCTATCCCACCAAACAGTCCAAGCAGACACACGTATCTGCCTCCTGTGTATACATTTTTGTGGTCTCCTTGTCTCTCCTAGTCCACTAAGGCCATTGTGGAGCCAGACAGGACCACAGCTGAGTTCGAGGTGCCCCGCTTGACTCTTGGGGACAACGGGTTCTGGGAGTGCCGTGTGTCCACATCTGGTGGCCAAGACAGCCGGCGATTCAAAGTCAATGTCAAAGGTCAGTGATGTCCTAAGGCCATGAAAGATGAACAGTTGGCAGAGTAGACACTATGTGATTCTGCCCAAACCAGGGATCCTAGCAGAAGGGCAAAGACATTTTAAGGTCACAGCCCAGCACCAGGCAAAGAAGAGGGCTGTGGCCAACTAAAGGTTTGGCCTGGGCAATGTCAAGGCTGGAGCACAGCTTGGTCTCATCTGGAAAGGACATCCCATTACCCAGAAACCAAGAACACCTTGGCCTGCATCCTACCTAGCCATGTATCCCCTACCACTACACACAATTTGCCTTTAATTTTGTCTCTGGGATGCTGCTCCGTTTCTGAGTCACCTCACATGGCTACTCAGTGAGAGGATGGGGGAGCACAAAGGGCCATGGAACCCAAGGGTGACCTGCTTGGCTCCCCCAGAGTGGTTGTATGTATAGGAGTCTGCTAGGTGAATGGATAAAAACTGCCCAGGATTTCTCTGAGCAGAGCACCCCCTCCTTTCATCGACATAAGCCTCAACAGCTGGAATGCCTGCCTGCCCAAGGCCAAATTTTTCTTCTGCCTCTGACCGCCTCCTCTAGATAAGCTCTCTCTCTGACCTTCTTCTTTCTCACTCCACACTTGGCTTCCCGATTCCTCACCATCCGCACCCCACCACCCTCCTCCTCCACCAGGCTCTACCTTTAGACTTTCTCTTGTCTCTCTGCCATCCCAGGCTTTGAACTAAGACTTATTCAACTGGGGTTCAAATCCTCCCTAAAAATTCTTAGCTCCATCACCTTGAGCAAGTTACGTAACCTCTCTAAGTTTCTCTTTTGGAAATCAGGGGATAGCATTGCTTACTTGATAGAGCTGCTATGAAGACTAGATGGTGCATTTAAGCAGTTAGCACAGTGCCTGACACAAGATGGATGTGTAATATATGTTGACAATTGTTAGTTTCATTTAAAATGGCATCTACTAGACTGGAGTTGTAGCTCAAGTGATAGAGCACTTGCCTAGCAAGTTCAAACTGCAGTACTGGAAAAAAAAATGTTAATAAAATACAATGGCATCTACAAATACTAAGATAAACCCCTGGGATTCCTACGTAGGTTCTGCAATCAACACTCTTCTGACCCAAGAGTTATTTGGTGGGATTTCCATGAAATGGGTCATCTTCTGTGGGGATCTGGTTTCAAAGTCAGTGTGGAAATTCACTGGTGTATGAGTCAGGGGCCCATTTTATATCCAGCCACCTCCTGGATGTCTGATCTCCTGCATGAACTATAGACACTAAGAGCTCCTCAGAATCCAAACTGGACCTTCATCTCCCCCCAAATCTGTACCTGTTCCTGACATTGCTGCTTACCACTCCTTCTGTTCACCACTCTGCATCCTCCATTCTCCTTAACCTGCCTACCTCCCTCCCTCCCTCCCTCCCTTTCTTCCTTTATACCTTCCTAGAAAGTCAGTCAGGCAAATATTTGGAAAAGGCAAGGAACTTATTAAGGCATTAATACAATAATTTGGAGAGAAAACAGACCAGAATAGGGGCAGTGACAATGGAGGGAGGAAGCCAGGCAGGAACACAAAAACTGCTTTGGGCTGGACACTGGTGGCTCACGCCTAGTTAGAGACTGAGATTGGGAGAAGAGTGGTTCAGAGCCAGCCCAAGCAAACAGGTTCACAAGACCCCATTTCCAAAATAACCAGAGAAAATGGATGGGAGATGTGGCTTAAGCAGTAGAGTGCCTGCTTTGCAAGCGTGAAGCCCTGAGTTCCCACTCCAGAAAAAAAAAAAAAGGCTATTTTGGGGTTGAATCAATTGACTTCAGGTGGCTTGGTCAGCTGGGCTTAGCTCAAATCCTCCTAACTGTGTGATCTTAGGCAAGTTATTCAGTGTCTCTGAGCCTCTCTTTCTTCATTTATACATAGAAGCATTGAACCTCACCTGAAAGGCAGCTCTGAGAATTAGAGGTCATGCATGAGGCGCATCAAGGGTGGAGCAGGTGCTTCACCACTGGCACCTTTTTCTGTTTAAACTAATAAAATGGTGAATGGTGGGAGGAGGGGCAGAGAGCAGATGACACCCAGGTTGCATGGTATCACCCTGCCTTGCATTCCCACCCCTCTGTGTACCCCTACTGCATGGACAGGGTGCTCTTCTCCCAACCCCTGTCTGGCTATGTCACACTCTCACTTAACATCTTTGAGATACGTATGTCCTTATGGCCTATGTCCCTGTGCCCCATGCTACCCAGGGACCAGAACTCTGTCCTTTCTGGGCCCTGGACATTCCAGTCGTCTGTCCAACGTGGTCTCCACAAACCCAGTCCAGATCCAAACTAAGACCTAGAGGTATCTGGTGCCCAAAGCACAGTGGTTCCCTTTCCCTGAGAACAGATTGACCCCATGGGCCATGCCTTACTCTGAGTCTCCTGGCAGTGCCCCCAGTGCCCCTGACTGCACCTCGGCTCCTGGCTAAGCAGAGCCGCCAACTTGTGGTCTCCCCTCTGGTCTCATTCTCTGGAGATGGACCCATCTCCTCGGTCCGCCTGCACTACCGGCCCCAGGATAGCACAATGGCCTGGTCCGCCATTGTGGGTAAGTGGGGAAAGAGCTTAGGGAGGATGGGGAATTAGGTAATAGTGAGGGGATAAGATGAAAATGGAAATGGAGGTAGGGTGGCATAAAGAGAGGGGCTGAAAGGTGAACGGCACCTTCAGGAGGCAGCTGGGACTGAATGATGTGTGTGGTACACCCCAACCCCAGTGGATCCCAGTGAGAATGTGACGATAATGAACCTGAGGCCGAAGACAGGATACAGTGTCCGTGTGCAGCTGAGCCGGCCAGGGGAAGGAGGTGAAGGGGCCTCAGGGCCTCCTACCCTCATGACCACAGACTGTCCTGGTGAGAGACCAAGAGTCATCCCTTCCTGCCCCCCCAGGCATTGCTGTCCTGTCCAATCAGTGTCGTCATGTCTTATTGACCCCCCAGGAGCCCCTGCCTTTCCCATTAGCGGTTGTCCTACCCTGTCCACTGTGGGATCATTGTCCCTTCCAGCCCCAAGAACACATTGAACAGTTCTGACCCCTGACCTCTGGCCACAGAGCCCTTATTGCAGCCATGGCTGGAGGGCTGGCATGTGGAAAGCCCTGACCGCCTGCGAGTGAGCTGGTCCTTGCCCTCAATGTCTGGGCCACTGGTGGGCGATGGTTTCCTGCTGCGCCTGTGGGATGGAGCACGGGGGCAAGAGCGGTGGGAGAACATCTCATCCCCCCAAGCCCGCACCGCCCTCCTGACTGGACTTACACCTGGCACCCACTACCAGCTAGATGTGCGGCTCTACCACTGCACCCTCCTGGGCCCTGCCTCGCCCTCTACGCACATGCTTCTGCCCTCCAGTGGTATGCCTGTGGCAGTGTGATGTGTTGGGGATGAGGGGAGGACAGGGGACACAGGGACACATGAGACCCAAGACACAGGAAGTTATAGGAGACTGAATGGACACGGAGAGAACACAGGATGATCTCAGGCATCAGGGAGGACATGGGACATGGGGAAGGTGGAGGACACTAGGACACTAGGAAGACATAGGTCACCAGGAGCATGTAGGATGGGGCTGCATAGGGAGGTCATGGTTCATGTGAGAACAAGGGTCATGGGGGTAGATGTGGGGCTTGGGAACACAGTTAGAGGAGACATGGGGAAGAACTGGGTTACAAGGAGAACAAGGGGAAGACACAGCTTGGGGGGTAAACATGGCCTGGAGATGAGGAAGAATCTAGCTGGGGTCAGGAGGAAGGAAGAAGTTGTCAGGGTGGCTCCCATTCTAGGGTCAACAGAGCAGGGGACTTGCTAGAGGGAATGCATCTGACCCCACAGCCACATAGCCCGGTCCAGTCTAGCCATGCCTTCCCACTCCACTTTCTCCAATTTCCCTAGGGCCTCCAGCCCCCCGGCATCTCCATGCCCAGGCTCTCTCAGACTCAGAGATCCAGCTGACATGGCAGCGTCCAGAGGCTCCATCTGGGCCTATATCCAAGTACATCGTGGAGATTCAGGTGGCCGGGGGCTCAGGAGACCCACTGTGGATAGACGTGGACAGGCCTGAGGAGACAAGCACCATCATCCATGGCCTCAATGCCAGCACACGCTACCTCTTCCGTGTGCGGGCCAGTGTGCAGGGTCTTGGAGACTGGAGCAACATGGTAGAAGAGGCCACCCTGGGCAACGGTGAGAAAGCAGGGCCTGAAGGACTCCTGGTCCCTGGGGCTGGTCTCAAAATTCACTCACTCTTCCTCATCCCTGCTTTGGAACTAGGGTATCTCAGGCCCCTCCCAACAAGTTCTGATAGTCCCTGACCTAATGCTGGGACGATTGTTATGTGGCTTCCTGTAATGTCCTTGGTCCCTTTCTTCACACAGCCCAAGTGTTCATATTCTAGAACTTGGATCGCTGACCTGTCCCTCTGCAGTATCTCATGGTGGCCTCAAGCATTCCCTGACCTAGGCATTTCCCAGTCTGCCTCTCGTTGTGTACAGGACTGCAGAGTGAAGGCCCAGTCCAAGAGAGCCGGACAGCTGAAGAGGGTCTGGATCAGCAACTGGTCCTGGCTGTGGTGGGTTCTGTCTCAGCCACCTGCCTCACCATCCTGGCTGCCCTCTTAGCCCTGGTGTGTATTCGCAGAAGCTGCCTGCATCGGAGACGCACCTTCACCTACCAGTCAGGATCGGTCAGTACCCTTACCCTTCGGGTGCACATTGTGTTTCCCCTCGTGCGTATGTGTTTCTGCCCCCATACACAGAAGTACTGTGTGTGTACACCCACACGTGTTTATGTCACATGTGTAAAACTACATTCAACAATACTCAAGGGTGCAAAATATAATATTCTTTCTTTCTCTAGAACAGAACTCAGTTGATTAGCCCATTTACATCAGCTGTGAAATATTTAGCATTCCCAGTTCAAAAGAACTCAGTTTTGTCCATAGTTTACCAGGACCCATTCCAGGCTTCATAGAGATCAATTTGGGATTCTCCCCCTCTCTTCACCTTCCCCTTGGGGTTGCTGTCAGCCTAGGGAGCATGGTGATATCCTGGAGAGGCCATGCTGGCCTCTGTCCTTGTAGGCCCTCCCCACTTGGGAGCCATTCTCTTGACTATACACATTTGTGGCTAATGTCCTTAGTCCTACTTTGGCCTCCTGCCAACAGGCCGCGCAGGCTGTGAGCTCTCATCCCAGCCTCCATCCTTGCAAATCCCAGAGCCTTCTTTGGGAGACTGTGCCCTATGCTTGCCTGTATCCTGTGGAGGGCAGCAGTGTGTGGCTGTGACCCCTCTATAGCTGGCTATACCCTTCTAGAATTGTTCTGGGCTTCATCCTCACCTGCCCTCTCTGAGAAGAGAGAAACATACCTCACTCTACCGGGCATCTCTGCTGACCTGCCTGACTTATCCTATCCTCCAGTGGTCCACAGCCCCTGGCCCTCAGGTCAAATATTTATGTGGGGTGGGGTGAGGGGTGCTGACAATTCCTCAGTGACCCAGTGACCCTCAGCTTGTCACATCGACCCATCCCACTGATCCTATTTTCTCTGAGAACTTCCCACTGTTGTTTCTTAGAATCTGAACTCTACCATTGGCCTAAAAGGCCTAGGCTCTTGATATTTAGAATCAAGCTTTGGCATTAAAAAAACAAACAAAAAACCTCTTCTCTGTCAAGGACTAACCCTTGTGATAGAAAGCCCAGTGTCCAAGGCTAGTGTCTCTGCTATGCCTTTAAAAATCCATCCAGCATTACAATTGGCTTCTTTGTTCAAACTGTGTTGGCCCTGCCTCTGAGGTCAGAGCACACAGAAAGCCATCACTGCCATGGGGCGGGAGGGGGCGGGCGGGAAGGTAATGGGTACAAATGCTAAGGAAAGGCAGTGAGTACATAGTCTCGTAAAATATCAAGATACATCTCTGCCATATGTATCTGCATACAGCTATGTGTGCCATGTGTACATCTCCATGTGAGTATCCCATGTATATGTGCTTGTGTCCCTGATGCCTGTGTGTCCCTATGTTTGTGTACCTCACAAGTGTGCATGTGTACCTCTGCATGGAAGCATCTACAGATGGTGCAGCCATAGAACATTCATGTGCATTCTGGTGTGTGCCTTCGATTGTCCATGCTTCATGTGAATCCGTGTGACCTGTGTCTCCAGTCCTTGCCCATTAAGCTGGGCTTCAGCTCACTTAGGGAGTCCCATCACAAAGTCCATCTTGAACCAGCTTCTGGTTCTCATATTGCAGCAACTTGGTTCTGTTCAGCTACCCCTTTTCTTACCATCAACCCTTCCCATGTGGGCCTCCTACTCAGCACAAAGAGTTGGTCCTGCTGTATTTAGATCGTGGCCTGGTTTTAGAGCTATAGCTAGACATTAAGTGGGGGCAGGAGCAATCTCTGCTTCTGCTACTGTAGCAAAGAAAACCCTTCCACTGGCTCCTAGTAGCTCAGGGTTTTGCACATAGTAGATATTCAACAAATGTACCCAAAGCTGAAATCTTCTCTAGAGATTCCTGGTGGGGGAGGGTGACTAGTTTCAGATTAGCACAATAATAGGAAGCTCACTGCTTCCCATCACTGCTCATTCCAATTCTTTTCTGTTTTAAATGTTAGAATACCATCCTTCCCCTGACTCACATACTGACATTTAGCAACGTGCCATAAACCCTGGTACTGCCTTCCAGAGCCCCACACACAAGACCTCCAAGTTAAGGCCTCCGCATTTTCTTCTTGGATACCTGTTCATCCAACAACCCACCTGCTGCTCTGTCACTTCTGATTCTGTCTCAATATATATCTCCATTGGTGTGTTCCAGGCTGACCACTAGTGTGTCCTCTGTTTGTCTAACCACTGAACCCTCTCTTTGTATGACTATTTGTGCCTTCTTCTGCCCTCACATCTCTTGTGTGGGCTGTGCCCATTTGCCCCATCCTGTGAAGGGTGAGGAGACCATCCTGCAGTTCAGCTCAGGAACCTTGACACTGACCCGACGGCCAAAACCTCAACCCGAACCTCTGAGTTACCCTGTACTGGAGTGGGAGGACATCACCTTTGAGGACCTCATTGGGGAAGGGAACTTCGGCCAAGTTATCCGGGCCATGATCAAGAAGGATGGACTCAAGATGAATGCAGCCATCAAAATGCTGAAAGGTCCCTGGGAGTGACCCCTGACCCCAGCCTGACCCTCTTCTTTGTCCCAGAGACCCCAGGCCTGCCTACCTCCCACCAGCAATTGACCCCAGACCTCAACAGCCCATTTTCTTCAGAGTTATTTCTGGCAAGAATGACATTGGACTCTTTACAGAGTATGCCTCTGAAAATGACCATCGGGACTTTGCCGGAGAACTGGAAGTTCTGTGTAAACTGGGGCATCACCCCAACATCATCAACCTCTTGGGGGCCTGTGAGAACCGAGGTGAGTGCCCCCACTCACCAGATCATTAGCCAACACTTCCACATCACTGGCTTACTGGAAGCTACAAATCACCCACACATCAGTCCATCCCCTGCATGCTACAGGCTCCCTGTCTCTTGTTGGTATTGCTTCCACCCCAGATGACCTATTTCTGAATCACCACCCTGTGTCCCCTCACCTTCCAGGTTACTTGTATATTGCTATCGAATATGCCCCCTATGGGAATCTGCTAGATTTTCTGCGGAAGAGTCGGGTCCTGGAGACTGACCCAGCTTTTGCCCGAGAGCATGGAACGGCCTCCACCCTCAGCTCCCGGCAGCTGTTGCGTTTTGCCAGTGATGCTGCCAATGGCATGCAATATCTGAGTGAGAAGCAGGTGAGTGTGAGTGCATCAGTGACAGAGGGAAGAGGGGAGGCCACTGGGCCAACCTCAGGAGGTAAAATCAGCAGCAGGCTCTAGCTGAGGAATGGTGAGAGGAACGACATGATCCCAGGTTCTGCCCCGTGAGCAGTGATTGCAAGGGCAGTGAGGGGAGAGCAGAGGATGAGAGGCAGGTCTGGAGAAGGTGCTACAGAAAGCCTGGTGGAAGGGTTGAGTAGGCAGCTGTAGATGCCAGCCCAGCACTCAGGAGAGAGGCCTGGCCAGAGACAACAGTCTGGGACCTGTCATCCCAAGATGGTGACTCCAGTGGGAAGGAAGTGGGGGAGACCTCCCAGCGAGGGTGAAGGGTGGGGGCCCAGTCCAAGTCTGAGAACACTTGCCTGAATGAAAGGAGGGAGGGGACAGCTGTCAGAGGGGAACATGAGACTTGAGGGAAGGCAATTTATAAGAAGTCAAATTTTGAGAATCTTTGAAAGTGAGGTTTGGGGACCAGTGAAAGGGAGAGGTTGAGGAGGGTGGAGAGCCAAAAGGGGAAGACTGGGAGGAGGGAGTCATTTGGGGGCCTTCACCAATGAGGAGAGGATGGGAGACAGGGGGATAGAGCAGTCTGAAAGAGAGAAAGGTGCATTGTGGCCACCACTGTCCCAGAATGAGGGATACTACCTGAACTTGGGCATGCCCACATCACAGGAAGGAGGGGCTAAGAGCTAGCATTGACTTCTCAGACAGGGGTCAGCTGATCCAAGATTGATATCTAGGTGAGTAGAAAGAAGAAAAAAGGGTTCCTAAAGATATCAAGATCACCCATGTAGGCTGACACTAAGGTCACAACTCCTATTAGTCCCACTGTATTGGACACTGTCATCTCTCCTTCTTGATGTCTGACCTTGCCTACAGTTCATCCACAGGGACCTGGCTGCCCGAAACGTGCTGGTTGGTGAGAACCTGGCTTCCAAGATTGCAGACTTTGGCCTTTCTCGGGGGGAGGAGGTGTATGTAAAGAAGACAATGGTAAGTCTCATTTGACCTCCCCTTCAGGGCCCATGCCTGGCCCTACCCCTCAAGCCCCTCAAACAGACCCTTCCTCCACACCTGACCCCTAAGACCCATTCTCTCCCAGGGGCGTCTCCCCGTTCGTTGGATGGCCATCGAGTCTCTGAACTACAGTGTCTACACCACCAAGAGTGATGTGTGAGTTTAGGAGTGGGAAGGAGCAGAAGGGGTTGGCCCCCAAATGTCACTCAAGCATAAACTAGACATAGTTAGTCTAAGGCATGAATGGTCACTGCTGGGTGTGTCCAGGTGTGACATAAGTGTGCCCTGAGTATACCTTGGTAGTATCTAGCATCTTAGAGGGCAGGTGGGGGATATATAGAAGGAAGTTTATCTGGGAAGGTGTTTCAGGGGTAAGTCTGGGGTAGGATTTAAGGGATCAAGGAATGTCTTGGAAAGGTTTGTAAGTGCTGTGGGTACTCCCTGGGGTAGAGAATACTCAAGGAATACATTTACCTTTCCCTCTGAAGGGAAGGGCAGGGCCATAGCCACCTGAGGATCTTACCAGTTCATGACCCCAAGACTCTTCCTCTGTGCTCCCTACCTCCGGATGGCTATCTTGGCAAGCTCCTTCCCTGTCTCCAGGGATGTTCATCTTGGTCTTACCCTGGCCTGCCCAACCTCCTGTCCTCCTGAGCTGCTCTGCCCTGGTCCTTTGCCCTATGGCCTGGCCTGCACTGTTCACTGTCCACCACCACATACCTACTTCCTGCTTCTGCTCAAAGACTTCCTAGATTTCCTGCCCCCCCCCCTTGTGTTCCTGATGTGTTCCTACATGGAGCTTGTTACCAGGTGAGATGCAGTTAAGAACAAGAGCTTTAGAGTCAGACTGTTTGGGTTTGAATCTCTGCTCAGCCACTTGTGACCTTATGTAAACTAGCTAAACTCTCGGTGCCTCAGTGTCTTCATCTGTAAAATGGAGATAATAATAGAGCCTGTATCATACAGTTGGTGTGGCAGTTAAATGAACTAACTTATATATTGTATAATCAGTGCCTGGACCACAGTAGGTAATCAATAAAAATATTGGCTATAATTATGCTAAATCCAGGGGTAAGGTGCTACAAAAGAGCTTCAATAGAGCAGAGACAGCAGCTGACCAAGGCTTGCAGAGTAGACACATGCAGAGTCTGAAAGAGGCTGCACATCCCAGGTAGGATGGGCCCCCGGTCCTAGAAGGTAACTAAGTGAATCTTTCTCATTTCAGCTGGTCCTTTGGGGTCCTTCTCTGGGAGATAGTGAGCCTTGGTGAGTTCCCACCCAGTTCCCCAGAGCACCCCACCTTACCAATTGGGCCCTGGACTGAGGGAGCCTTGTCTCTCCTCCAGGAGGCACACCCTACTGTGGCATGACCTGTGCTGAGCTCTATGAGAAGCTGCCTCAGGGCTACCGCATGGAACAGCCTCGAAACTGTGATGATGAAGTGTAGGTCACCTCATCTCTGAGAGTCTCTTGACTTTCACCCTGTGACCCCATCACACTAGTGGTCCTGATCCCTTGCCTTGCAATACCCCCCATACAGGTATGAGCTGATGCGTCAGTGCTGGCGAGACCGTCCCTATGAGCGCCCTCCCTTTGCCCAGATCGCACTGCAGTTGGGCCGCATGCTGGAAGCCAGGAAGGTGAGGGGCTGGGCGAGATGGGAATGGGGGCTCATCAAGCTAATAGAAGTGCCCTCACATAGATGCCAGAAGGCATCTATTAAATGTCCCCAGTCCCTACTAGACTCCCTACCCAAGTCCCTCAGGTGGAGCTGTCACCACAGCAAGGCTGGGTCCAGGGTGCAGCCCCTTATAGCCCTTGCTGGGTTAGCTACAAGGCCTCTCTACACTCTTCCAAGATTACTGTTGCTTAGCCCCAACAGCAAATCCCTACCTCCTCTAGGGAGGAGGTCTCAGATGACTTGCCTGTCCTCCTCTAGGGAGGCCATCAGCCCATTGTCATCTGGGACCCCTCTCCTCACCTGGCACAGAGCCAGGGCAGCATGAATGTATGGTCCATTCACCAAGGATGGATGGGTGAATGAATGATACAGTAAAGGCTTAAATGCATGAGTGGAACTAATAGGTAAATGGTATAGTAATCATATGAGTAAATACATAATTCAATAACTGAATCTAATAACTATGTAAATAAAGTAGTTATCAAATAAAGATAAGGAAAAATATATTAAAATGAGTAAATATGAAAACAGCCCTTCATATGAATTAATGATTCAATAACTATATTAAATATTCATCTTAAGATAAACTCATAATCAAATTGAGTGAATCATTAACAGTAGCCTTATGAATAGATGAATAAGTAAATGGATAAACAAGCAAACAATTCACTGGATGAATCCATGAAAAGGCCCCCATCTAACACTTCTGTCTGGGGCCTCACCTGAAACCCCCAGCTATGGTCTGATGCCCTCACTGCTCTGGGCTGGTAAGAACCTCCCTTGGCCGTGGAGCCAACCTGAGTCTCCAGCACAAATTAGTACCTGTTCAGATGCCCCAACTACATGGAAGTAAAGGAGCGTAAGGCCAGATGTGCCCCATCCACAGCTCCCACTAAAGCTTGCTCTGTTCCCAGGCCTATGTGAACATGTCACTATTTGAGAACTTCACTTATGCGGGCATCGACGCCACAGCTGAGGAGGCCTGAACTGTCCTCCCTCTAGCCAGAACCTGGCTCTGCTGGCCGGAGCAAACTGCTCTCCAACCTGTGACTTGTGACCCGTCTAGCTGATCTGCCTCCGGGAATTCTTTTAACTTAAGGGGAAAAAGGGGGGGATCCAGAAGGGGACAACTGAGGAGAACAGGGTCCCTATCCTTTGCAGTTGCTCCTTCATTTTGTCGCTCCCCACACCCAAGCCCCTACTTCAGCTCCTCTGCCCAAGCCAACACCTGTTCAGCTACTCCCCACTCCCTATCTTAAACTCAAAAAATAAATGCTCTGAGAAGCTCCATCCAATGTCTACCTTTTACTGATGGTCAGTGAGGTGGGGAGGGGGTAGTTAAACACAAGAGAGAGAAACTGGACTTTACAGGAAAAGAAACACTGTTCCTGCACACACTTGCCTGAGGCCCAAATCCTCTGGGGAAGTTGTCTCTCCATGGCAGGAGATGTTCTGAGAGACCCATTGGACACATACACCACTAGCCCACATCTCTGCCCAATCACAAGTCCAGTTTTCCCTCTGGTCCCCTCCCTGCTCTCTAGCCTCACCAACACGTTTCCCTGTGTCTCTGGGTATCAACCAGCCTTGGATTCTTTGCTCTGTCCAAACACAGTCCATGCCAAGACTGGCTGGAGCCCAGCCTCAGTTCAAACTGATACTCAGCATCAGACACACCAGTTCCTATGCTTTTTCTTTTTCTCCTTATGCCTCTAGGCAGCCTTTCCTGACTGGATAGCCACCTTACTGCCCAGCTAGTAGGCCCAAAAGGAGGAAGGCAGAGGCCACTCTCTACTTCAGCCAGCCATGGTTGGATTTCTGTCTTCCTCTGGGTCTCCTAGTGTTCTTGAGAGTACTTCTTTCCAGAGTTCTTGCTCCCTACCCTTCAAGTCAGTCCCACACTATCCCATGCTATGTGCTCTCTGGGCTTCCTTACCCCAGGACTACTGCCAAGCTTCTATTTATATAACTGGATCGATGTTGGTCACTAAAAGAATAAAACCAGGCCAGGTGCTGCCTATAATCCTAGCTACTCAGGAGACAGAGATCAGTAGGATCGAGGTTCAAAGCCAGCCAGGGCAAATAGTTCTTTAGACCCTATCTCAAAAAAACCCATCACAAAAAAGGAGGGGAGGGGGAGAGGCTGGTGGAGTGGCTCAAGGTGTAGGCTCTGTGTTCAAACCAATATCACACAAAAAAAACAGGTAACACTGCTTGGCTATGGTGACACATGCCTATAATCTCAGCACTTGCGAGGCTAAAGCAAGAGAATCGTGAGTTCAAGGACAGCTTGGGCTACAGAAGACTGTCTCAAAAAAACAAAAAGCAGGCTGGGCACAGAAGCTTACACCTGTAATTCCAGCTACTTTGCTTTATAGAAGAGAAAAGGTCAAAGAAGTTAAGTAACTTCGCAGAGTGATCAGACAACTAGTAAGTCTGACAGCTAGTAAGTAGCAGGATTGATATTCAAACGTGGACATTCTGGCTCTAGAGTCCCTCTCTTACTCACATCACGATACTGTCTTTCTGGCAGAGTGGGCCCAGTACACTTCCAAATTCAACACTTGTAGTATTGATCCCACACTACCTGAAGGTACCCTCCCCCACAGAAGAGCCTCACATTCTGCTGTAGCACCCTAAGGACCCAGAACCCCACTGCAAACTGCAGGCACAGAGCATGGTTGCAAATTCTTAGCCTCATCTGCCCCACCCAGCTCCTGCTTCAGGTCCCAGTGCTTCACTCTCAGGCCCTATTCTCATGGGAAATGGCCTAGGCTGGGTAGGTGTTGGAGCAAGAGACCTAGCAAAGCAGCACAAACCTGTTTCCACAGAAACTGATGGAAAATGCCAGAGGAGAAGCCTCATTAAGCAAGTGGCTTAGAAAGGTAAACCTTGTGGGCACTTGGTTGGAGGGGCCTCACTGCAGCTCATCCGGGTCACAAAAACAGAAGACTGACCAGCCAGCCCTGAGTCATTCATTCCCCTCTGGCCCCTAAGGAAGGGGTGATTTCCTGCAGGGCCTTCTGGGCAGCTCAGGCTCCTCCCATGGGCTATGCATCCTCTTATCTCACCCCCAGGCCCTCTCCAGGCAAACCCAAAGCTGACTCTGTTAGGGTGAGTCCTCCTCTTTCCTTGGCAAGCCTGGGATTCAGGGCTCAGAGAGAAACCAGAAGCTCTAAATACAGGCAGCTCGGGAGCCAGGATGTCTCCTGGAGGACAGAGAAAGAGAGTAGAAGACTGACTAGATTCTACCCCTGCAGTTGTCTCCCTTGAGGGTGATGATAGGCAACTATTGGTCCTTTTTGCATTTACTACCACTTCACCCCTCCCACTGTGGGAAAGACACATCTGGCCCCATGCGGAGCACATGCTGTTAAATAAATGAAGAGAAGGGAGAAAACAGATACAAGGTGGTCCTCGTCAGAAGTGTTTGTGCAGGGTTTTTAAGACACCAGGCTTCAGAGGCAAATAGACCTGAATTTAAATCTCAGCACTTTCACTTAGTAGTGACTTTAGACAACTCATTTGCAGCTCTAAGCCTTGGTTTTCTCTTTTGGAAAATGAGGACATGGGCACCAAATAGAGCTATTGTGTGATGAAGACAGTGCATTAGTATAGTGCTGGCAAATAGCAAGTGTGTACTTTTGAAAGCTGGTAGGATAAATGAGGAAGAGCCCACTTCTCCCAGTCCTTACCCCAGCAGATCCCTTCTTGGGGATTCATGCCCCCTTTAACTAGGGTACAATCATAGCATGGCTATTTACATTTAAAAATACCCCCATATTCAGTGGGAACCTGGAAGAAGGTGTGCAACCCAAATTTCTCAAGCTTTGAAGTCCTTTCAGGTCACTTTTTTCCATTTAGATCTAATTAGGATGCATCCCCATTCCACATCCATATCCTTCTCTGCTATTTTCTTTCTCCAGACAGGGTCTTGCTATGTTTCCCAGGCTTGCCTTGAACTCTCTATCCTCCTGCCTCAGTTGCGGAGTGCTGAGATTACAGATATTTACCACCACACCTGACCCTCTGCTTTTACCAGGACCCACCCAGAGCTTATATGACCGCCTTTCAATCTGAATCCTGCTCTTGCTAAACCCTCTGTGACTGCCACTCTCTCTCAATTCCATAGATGTCACAAGATCTTTTCCTTTGTTCCTAAAGCATCATGAATAGAAGGTTTTGTGTGAAAGACACTCTTGCTGACTGTTTGAGCAAGGTGTAGGGAAGCTAAACATTCACAGAATAGGGAACTAACTTAAAACTGAGAAATGAGGGTCAGACACCAGTGGCTCACACCTGTAATCTTAACTACTGGGGAGGCTACTAAGATCAGGACAATAGCAGTTTGAGGCCAGCCTGGGCAAATAGTTTGCAAGACTCCATCTCCAAAATAACCAGAGCAAAATAAACTAGAGGTGAGTCTCAAGAGGTAGAGTGCTTGCTTTGCAAGTGTGAAACTCTGAGTTCAAACCCCAGTCCCACAAAAGAACAAAACAAAAAAAAAAAAACACAGAGCAGTGGGCATCACTGCACTGAATTTTCCTCAGGTAGTCCATTTACCTGGAATTTCTTACTGGTTAGCCTTTCTTCTCCCCAATGTACTTACTATCTGTCTTTCCCTTACTGGCTCTCTTCCTTTCCCATCCCCCAATCCAGCAAATTTAACTCTAACTGCCTCCTATCAAGGCATGCACAAAGGGTCTCTTCTTTTTCAAATGAATTCTGATCACTAGCAGGACTGGTAGTACATGCCTCTAATCCCTGCTACCCTGGAGGCAGAAGCAGGAGGATCTTGAGTTCAGGGCCAGCCTGGGGAAAGGTAACAGAGGAGACTTTGTGTCTGTCTTATACAGTGGCTAGACATGGTGACACACACCTGTTGTCCCAGTTACTCAGGAGGCAGAAATCAGGCGGATCACAGTTCAAAGCCAGCCCCAGACAAATAATTTAGGAGACCCTATCTTGAAACAACCAATCACAAAAAAAGAGCTGGTGGAGTGGCTCAAGCAGTAAAAGTGTCTGCCTAGAAAGTGTGAGGCCCTGTGTTCAAACCCCAGTGGTGCTGAAAAAATAAACCAGGCAAAAAGGGCTGGAGGTCATCACTCAAGTGGTAGAGTACTTGCTTGCCCTAGCATGGGAGAGACCTTGGTCAATCCCCAATGCCAAAAAACAAAAAAGTTCCTTATCACAAAAAAGCTATGGTGTCTCAGAAAGGAACATGGAATGACATTTCTGTTTTGAATTACCTTTTCCCCCATTACATATAGTTTGGAGACAAGAAATTACTATTAAGAAGTAGGACTTGGAAACAGATCTGGAATCACAAAGAAATTTCCAATAAGCTGTAAAGTTGGGAAGGTTCTGTGGCTGGGGAAACCATGGGAATGAGGCCCTGTGGCAGAAAAGGGTGTGGAGGGGTTGAATTTAGCAATGGAGAAGACCTTATCAGGATGAAGTGATTCCAGGAATGGGAAGATTCAGAGTTGGGAAGGGCCTCTGTGTTCCAGCATCCAGGGATGAATCTTGGTCCAAAGGACATGTGGAACCATGAAAGGACTTTAGGTAGGGAAAGAATAAAAGCAAATATGACCCTAGAAAAAGTACAGTGTAAAAAGCACATCAGTTAAATATCAGAATGGCAAACATAAAACAACAAAGTGGGGAGGCAGTACAGAGTGCCCTGACACACTGCTGGAGAATAAGCAGAACCATCATTTCAGGAGGTTTGGCAATGCTGGGCAAGAGATGGAGAAAGATAAAAAAAAAATCCTAGTGCCTAGAGCTATCTAGATTTGGACTTTCTTTCTTTCTTTTTTTTCCAGGATAATGTCTAAGGTTTTATTAGAAAACACACCAGGTGAGGATGGCTCCTTCAGAGCTGTCTTTCTGATTTGATAAAAATGGCAGATGTTGGAAAATCGGGACTGATGGGAAGATAAGGGCAAGGACACCAGAACAGGCTCCCTTACTGTTCAGTGACTTCACATTAGGAACTTGAAACTGGCCATGGTGGAAGTACTTAGACCACAAAAAGCAGCAAATCCTACAAAACAGGACTCCTCCTTACAAAACAGCACACTACCAAAGGCAGCAACCCCTGGAGTTCTCTGAGCAATAACTACCCAGAGATCAAATACCAGCTTTTATAAACCAGGACTTTGCCTTCTATCCCAACAGGAATGCCTAGGCCTGCTGAGCTGGGTTGAACTTTAAAGAATCTTTAAGAGAAGACACACCTATATAGGACAGAACTACATGGTCTCCTTTCCATTAGGCCTATGCCAGTTCTGGCTTAATTTTCTAAAGAAATAAAGGACTTAGGAAGGCAGCTCTTTCTAGCTGTGTGGAAGCAGAGGAAAATGGGAAAATGACAGAGACAGATACCTAGACTTCTTCCTATGCAGGAGCAGAAAGCCCCCCTCTCAATTCTCTGACAATCATAGACAAGTCCCTTGTGGGCTCTGTACCCTTAACCACTATTATACTCCCTCCCTGTAGAAGTCATAGAACTTTGTAAGGACTTGAATGCGAGAAGGGTGGGAGAATGAGGATTTGAAAATCACTCTTGGGTTTCAGGCTGAGAGGCTAGGTAGACATTAAGAGGCATTTGAATTATATTCTAAGTGCAATGAGAAGTCTTTTAGGAATTTTAAAAGAGGCGTGAAGGGCTGGAGGCATGGCTCAAGCAGTATGGGTTCTGCTTTGCAAGTGTGAAACCCTGAGTTCAAATACCAGGTCTCACCAAAAAAAAAAAAAAGAAGGGCTGAAGACATCTGATGTGCATATTAAACATATCAGCTGCTGTGGAAAGGATGGATAGGAGTAAGAGGGAGGCAGGGACACCAGGTAGAAACCATTGCAGTAACCCAGAAGTGAATAGGATGGGAGGGGTAGAGGAGGTAAAAAGTATGCAGATTCAGGATACATTTTGAAAGTATGCAGATTCAAAGTACATTCAGGACTTACTAATTAATAGAATGTAGGATAAGAGAAAGCTAGAAATGAAGGAGTACTGAGGTTTTGGGTTTGATCACCTGAGTAGGTGGAGGTACCATTTACAGATGTGGGCAAGACTAGAAAATAAAAAAGAGATGGGAACCAGAATCAAGAATTTTCTATTTGAGATGGGATCGTTCACTATGTTTCTCAAATTCATGGGCTCAAGTAATCCTCTCTGCTCAACCTCCCAAGACGCTAGGGCTACAGGAGACATGTACCACCACGTCCAGCCGGACCATCTAAAATATAAGATGTAAGCCAGGCACCAGTGGCTCACACCTGTAATCCTAGCTACTCAGGAGGCAGAGATCAAGAGGATCACAGTTCGAAGCCAGCCCATGCAAATACTTTGAGAGACCCTATCTCAAAAAATAACCATCACAAAAAAAAAAAAAAAAAAAGTCTGGTGAAGTGGCTCAAAGGCCCTGAGTTCAAGCCCCAGTACTGAAATAAATAAATTAAATTAAATTAAATATAAGGTGATTATTAGAAACACAAATGCAAAGCCAAGCAGGTAGTTGGCTGGAGCACAAGGGAGAAGTCACAGAAACATATACTGACTTTTAAGTCATCAGCATTCACATAGTATCCAAATCCATGGGACTGCATGCTAATACTTGTTTTCCCTTTCACTTAATCTGAGAAAGGCTGAGTAGCCCTTGATTGGGGGAGGGGGAGATCCAAAGTTATTACAATTGAGCTATGTAACCTGAGGGCTAGTAGAGCGAAGGACCAACCTGGCTCAGTACAATTTGTAGACAGATGGTGCCAGAAAAACTAAGACTTCACAAGGAGGGCTAAAGGTCTTCCCTCTACCCATCCTTACCTCTTAAAATTTGGTCTGTTGGTAAAATTAATTCAGAAAGAAGAAGAGAGAAAGGTGATCAAAAGTTTCCTGGAAGTCAATGAAAATGAAAACACTACCTACCAGAACCTATGGGACACAGCAAAGGCATTCCTAAGGAAAGTTTATAGCCATGAGCACATATATTAAAAAGACAGAAAGATCTCAAATAAATGACCTAATGCTACATCTCAAAATTCTAGAAAAATAAGAACAAGCAAAACACAAAACAAGCAGAAGGAGAGAAATAATAAAAATAAGGGCAGAAATTAATGAAATAGAGATTTTAAAAAACCATACAAAGAATCAATGAAACAAAAAGCTGGTTCTTTGAAAAAATAAACAAGATTAACAAGCCCCCAGCAAATCTGACTAAAATGAGGAGGGAAAAGACCCAAATTAGTAAAATCAGAAACAAAAAAGGGAAGATAACAACAAACACCAAGGAAATCCAGGGAATCATCAGAGACTACTTTGAGAACCTATAGTCCAATAAATTGGAAAATCTTGAAGAAATGAACAAATTTCTAGATCCTTATGACCATCCAAAACTGAACCAAGAGGATATTAACCACCTAAACAGATGTATAACACATAATGAAATTGAAGCAGCAATAAAGAGTCTCCCAAAAAAGAAAAGTCCAGGACCTGATGGATTCTTTGCTGAATTCTATCAGATCTTTAAAGAACGAATACCAACCATCCTTAAACTTTTCCATGAAATAGAAAGGGAAGAAACACTGACCTAACTCATTCTATGAAGCCAGTATTACACTCATCCTAAAACCAGAAAAAGAAACATCCAAAAAGGAGAACTATAGACCAATCTCCTTAATAATATCAATGCAAAAATCCTCAATAAAATAATGGCAAATCAAATCTGACAACATATCAGAATCATTCACCATGACCAAGTCAGCTTCATCCCAGGGATGCAGGGATGGTTCAACATATGCACATGAACATGTAATAGAGCACACTTACAGAAGCAAAGACAAAAACTTCTTGATATCTCAACAGATGCAGAAAAAAGCCTTAGATAAGATTCAACACCATTTCATGATAAAAGCTATAAGAAAACTAGGAATAGAAGGAATGTACCTCAACATTATAAAGGCTATATATGACAAACCTATAGCCAACATCATACTTAATGGGGAAAAACTGAACCATTTCCCCTAAAGCCAGGAACAAGACAAGGATGCCCACTCTCCCCACTCCTATTCAACATAGTCCTGAAATTCCTAGCCAGAGCAATAAGGCAAGAAGAAGAAAGAAAAGGAATACAAATAGGTAAAGAAATAGTCAAACTATCCCTATTTGCAGACAACAGGATTCTACACTTCATAGACCCAAAAAAAACTCCACCCCCAAACTCTTAGACACCATAAACAGCTTAAGCAATGTAGTAGGATACAAAATCAACTTACAAAATCAGTAACCTTTGTATACAGCAACAATGAACAAATTGAGAAAGAATATAGTAAAACAATTCCATTACTAAAGCCTCAAAAAAAAAATCAAATACCTAAGAATAAACTTAACAAAAGGATGTAAATGACTTCTACAAGGAGAATTACAAACCACTGAAGAAAGAGCTCGGAGAAGACTACAGAAGGTGGAAAGATCTCCTGTGCTCATGGATTGGCAGAATCAACATAGTAAAAATGGCTATCCTACCAAAGGCAATCTACATGTTTAATGCAATTCCCATCAAAATCCCAATGACATTCATCACAGAGATTGAAAAAATCTACCTTAAAGTTCATTTGGAAACACAAAAGACCTCGTATAGCCAAGGCAATATTGAGTAAAAAGAGCAACACTGGAGGTATCACAACACTTAATTTCAAACTACACTACAGAGCTATAGCAATAAAAACAGCATGGTACTGGCAAAAAACAGATATGAAGACCAGTGGAACAGAATAGAGGACTCGGATATGAATCCATGTAGCCACACCCACCTTATTTTTGACAAAGGTGCCAAAAACATGCAATGGAGAAAAGACAGCCTCTTCAACAAATGTTGCTGGGAAAAGTGCCTATCTGCTGGTAGAAAACTGAAATAAGATCTATGCCTATCACCCTGTACTAGTATCAACTCAAAGTGGATTAAGGACCTTAATATCAGACCCAAAACCTTGAAGTTAGTACAGGAAAGAGCAGGGAGTACTCTGGAAGCAACTCTGCAGGTTGACTTCCTGAGCCTTACTTCTTATTAGGTATGTGATCTTAGGCAAATCTTTAACTTCTCTGCATCTCAGTTTCCTCATCTTTGTAACAGAAATAGTAAGACTACTGTCAGAACTAGCCTAGTCAATAGGTACAGAGTGTTTTCCACATGGCAGCTTAGTTAAGTGCTCAGTAAATGTTGCCGTGCTTGATGATGGTTGGCTCTTTTATAGTACTTAACACACAGGCTTATTCTCCTTTTGATGTACAGTCAAATATGAACCCGGTGGCCTATGTCCTCTCTTTAAATTCCTCCTACCCTTCTGCCCACTCCCCCTCCCTTGGCCCCAGTGTGGTCTGGATGGGCCCCAGAGGGGCAGGGGCAGGGACAGGGACAGGACGTGGGGCTGTATCTGACAGGAACCTGAGGGGCTGGCCTGGGAGGGGATTGGGGCCCGGCTTCCTGAAGGGAGGATGGGCTAGGGCAAGCACACAGTGCCGGAGAAGATGCCCTCCTGGGCCCTCTTCATGGTCACCTCTTGCCTCCTCCTGGCTCCTCCAAACCTGGCACAAGTCACCAGCCAAGGTGAGGTGTGTTAAAGGGTGGAGATCACCTATGCCCAGGAAGAGGGACACCTGGGAGGGAATAGACAGCCCTGGAAGGGGATGTAGGGTAGGAGGCCTCCACTGGTCCCCTACTCTTGCTCACAAACATGTCTGGGAGGGCCCAGAGCCAATTCATCAGCTGTTTCTCAGATGTCTCCTTGCTGGCCTTGGACTCAGAGCCCCTGAAATGTTTCTCCCAAACATTTGAGGACCTCACTTGCTTCTGGGATCAGGAAGAGGCAGCACCCAATGGGACATACCAACTGCTGTATGCCTACCCAGGGTAGGTACTGGGCTGCGCCCCACTCTGCATATGTCTGCCCCTATACTTAGTACAGCAAAAATTCCATTTTATTAGCTTCTTTTGTGTTGACTCTATCAGAGGATGACTCCAAGTTCATGCCCTTAGCAGCTAGTTTATCAATAGCCCAGCTCAAGCCACTGCATAACCCTTAATCCCACCCATCCCAAGCCAAGCGGTAAGAAGAAAAATGGCAGTACAGAGACAGGAGTTGGGAATGGCCTGGCTTGGGTCCACAGGCTAAGCATGGTGGCTGTGTAGATAGGACCTCTCCTATACCAACAGAGAGAAGCCCCGTGCCTGTCCCCTGAGCTCCCAGAGTGTGCTCCGCTTTGGAACCCGATACATGTGCCAGTTTCCAGCCCAGGATGAAGTTCGCCTCTTCTTTCCGCTGCACCTCTGGGTGAAGAACGTGTTCCTGAACCAGACTCTGACCCAGCGGGTGCTCTTTGTTGATAGTGTGGGTAAGAACATCTCTGTCACACTTCCACCTCCATCTGCTACCTACAGGCCAGCTGCTAGAATCAGTCTTGTTTGTGGTCTTTCAGAACCATATTATCAGATCTCAGGCCCCTTATCATCCTTTGGCATGCAGAGCTAGATCTATCTCACAAATCATTTCACACCAGGGATACCTTGGTCTTCCCATTACTGATATATTCATTTAGTCACCTATTCAACAGTTATAAAATACCTGTGTGTGCCAGGCACTGTGCCAGGTGACAAGGATGCAGAGATGAAAAGAGGTTCTCACTTTATTGTCTAACAAACCATTACACTATAGTGAGGTCACTGTTTTCATGAGGAAAGAACAGAACGAGACTTTCCTATCCTGCCCTCCCCTCCAGAGGAGTGACAGCTTTGATCTTTTTGAATCCAGAGCTGCCCCCAATTCAGCCTCCAGCATCCCTTTCTACAGTCCATGGGTTGAACTATAGACTGGCACTCAGAGTTCTGATGTGCCCACTATTTCGTCTTCAGGGCTGCCGGCTCCCCCCAGTATCATCAAGGCCATGAGCGGGAATCAGCCAGGGGAACTTCAGATCCGCTGGGAAGCCCCAGCTCCCGAAATCAGTGATTTCCTGAGGCATGAACTCCGCTATGGCCCCATGGATTCCAGGAACTCTACTGGCCCCACAGTCATGCAGCTGCTCTCCACAGAAACTTGCTGCTCCACTCTGCAGAGGCCGAACTCAGTCCCTGCTGCGGACCAGCCTCCATGTGCTCAGTCCACAGTGCCTCAACAGGATGGACCGAGGCACACCTCCTCAACTAGAGAAGTATTCTAATCTTCTTGGGCTCCACTTCCTACTCCCAAATTTGCCCAGGGAAAGGACTTTTATTAGCTCTCAGGAGCCCTATCTATTTAGGGATATCCCATTTGGGCCATTCACACAGACAAAATTGAAAGCTTTCAAGCCTCTAAATTAATGGAGATTTCCTTAAAAATCTCTGACCTGAAACCCATCAACCAGGCCTCCAGTCTGTGTGCATATTTATCTGATAAAGAACTAAGCTCTGCACACACATGCTGTAGGTCTTCAAGTATTAGGGACGGAGGCTGTCTTGGCTGAGAGGCAGACCTAGATTCTGATGCTGGGATCTTTCTTCCCAGGCTCCATCTCTTACATTCAAGGGTGGAAGTTGCCTCATCTCTGGGCTCCATCCTGGCAAGTCCTACTGGCTCCAGCTGCGCAGCCAACCTGATGGGGTCTCTCTCCGTGGCTCCTGGGGATCCTGGTCCTTCCCTGTGACTGTAGACTTGCCCAGGGATGCAGGTGGGTCAACAAAAGAATGGAGAGATGAAAAGGAGATTTAAAAAGATCTCTAGGGAGGTTTGGGCTAGGTACGGAGGCTCTGAGAACCATGATCCTGATGATGACCTCAAACTTGCCACTGTACAGGACAAACTATGTTCAGGGAGAGAAGAGAGAATAGAAGTCAGTATTTTGTTATATGTATAAAAACTACAGAGTACATGGTCCTGATGGGACTTACTTTTTTGACCTCAGCAACAATTGGACTGCAATGCTTTTCCTTGGACCTGGAGAATATCACCTGTAAATGGCAGCAACAGGACCATACTAGCTCCCAAGTCTTCTTCTACCACAACAGGGTCCAATGCTGCCCCCAAAGGTAAGAGTTAAGCTGTTGGTTGAATTTGATGGGAGAGACGCTCAAATCTGCAGAAAAATGGCAGCGGGGCATGACTCAAGTAGTAAAGCACCTGTTTAGCAAGTGTAAGGTCCTGAGTTCAAAGACCAGTACCATCAAATAATAATAATAAATAAAATCTTTAAAAAAAAAACCTGCAGAAGAAGGAAAAGATTACTCTTAGTCCTCCTCATTCTCCTATCTTGTCCAAAGACTAAACAGCCTCCATATTCTGTCATCTATTCTCCCATCCTCCAACAAGTATATTATATCCTCAATCTCTCTCCATTTCCACTGGGAATGCCTTGGTTTAATTCAACCTTAATCACATCACCTGGATCATCATGACAGTCCACAGTCTCATTCGCCTCTAACTTATTCCTCATGATGTGGATTGAGTGACTTTTGCTAAGTTCAAACACCGCAAAATCTTTGTAAAACTCTTACTTGGCGTGACCTTCCCCCACTCAAGTATGTACTGCAATGTCCCATGATCTCTAATCTGTTAAATCCATACAAAACTCCTCATTGATCCTCTCTGAATCCAATCTATTACCAAGCTTTATTAATTATATCTATGAAACATCTCTAGAATCTGTCCACTTTCGTCTAGCACTGTCATTACTCTTCCAAATCATGCTCCACATAGGAACTGGAGTAATCTTTTTAAAATGCTAAAATGAACAGAACACCCCCTGTTATATCCTTGCTAGTTTTCCATTGATCTTAGAATAAAGAAGTCTATCATTATAAAGTTCTAAAAGACTGAGCTCCTGTCTGTGTCTTCACCTTCATTTTATACTGTGCTGCCCTTTCCTCTCTCTGTTCCAGCACTGGCCTCCATTGGTTCTGCCATATTCCCTTCTGCCTCTGAGTCTTTACATGTGCTGTTTATCCAGCTTGCCCATCTTTACTTAACTTCTACTTACCCTTCAGCTCTCAGGTAACTGTCCTGTTCCCTTCCTTATTAAAGCCAATAATATGACTATACACTCTTATACCATGTGCCTCTTCTTCTTAAGTACTTATCACAGTTACAATTTAACATTTACATTTTATGTGATTATTTAATTGTTTAAAAAGTTCTCTCTCAGGGATGGGGCGTGGCTCCACACTGTTTTTGTTCACAAATGCATTCTCCCTTACACAGAGCCTGGAACACAGTAGGTACTCAGTAAAAAATTGTTCAGTGATGCTAGATAGAGTGGTATACACCTGTAATTCCAGTACTCATCATGCTGAGGCAGGAGGATCACAAGTTTAGGCCACCTACATAGTAAGACCCTACCTCAAAAAAAAAAAAACCCAAAAATTGTTCAATGAATTGAATAATTGAAAAAAATGCTCTCAACAATTTTAATGTATTCTTCAACTTTTTCTATGCATTTACATATGTCTATCTACAACATTTAATTTTCAAATATAAATTAGATAACATTATATTTGGTTTTGGTTTCGCAGTGCTAGGGATGGAACTCAGGGCTTCATGCATGCTAAGCAAGTGCTTTACCACTTAGCTACACCCCCAGTCCTACATGGTTGTTAACTCACTTTTAAATATGTCTTTGAACCCATTACAAAAAGAGGTGACTCATTCTCTTTAATAACTTCACAGATTTCCATAGTATATAGGTACAATCCATACATGGATTAAAGTGTGACAAAACTGAAGTCATCATTTCTTCTGCCCAAACCTGCTATTCCCTTGATTGTCCTCCATCCCGTCGTGAACTCAAATTTCACTTAGAACTCATTGAACTTCTCCCATTCCTATGCCCTCCAGGTCCAATCAGAGAATCTTGTCACTCCTACCTCTTGAATATCTCTTGAATCATCTCCTTCACTCTATCCTCACTGTCACCACCCTATTTTCAGACCCTCATCACTTTGCACATGAAAAACCACACGTCCTAATGGATTTCTCTCCTCCTACTCTCCCCTCACAAATCTTTTCTACAATCTGCAGTTAGAGTAATCTTATGCAGTACAAGGTAATTATGACACTTTCCTGTTTAAAATCCTTAAGTGTCTCAATAATTATTACAAAATTAGTTCAGTTCCTTAGAAAGGCCCCAAGGCCATCCATGACATGGTCTGAAGTCTCACATTTGCCATTTTACACCAGACCCTCTATCCCACTTAGAATTTCCCCCAAAGCACCACTTTCTTATCTGTGTACATGTGCCTGGGATGCCCAATTGTCCCCTTTGCTTGACTTATTTGTAGTCCAAGCCTCAGCCTAAAACTTGCCTTAGCCAGGAAGCATTCCCTGACCCTCCCAGTTTAGATTAGATGTTCCTTTATGATGCTCCCAATCCAGTCTGTTCATACCACAGACAAATATCTGTTCTTCTGTCTCTCCCATTGAAATCAGAACGCCTTGAACATTTTCCCTCTATGTGTGAATAAAAGAAATACATAAATTGATAATTTTAGTGATGACAAGTTAGGAATTATAACCAGGAGGCAGACATGACTCATTTGCTCAATAAACAATTGTTATTAAAAGGCAAAAAAAACACAAAACAATTGTGACTATGTGCCAGGCACTGGGGATGGTTCTAGGGATGGGGATGTAACTCAATTGTACAGCACTTGCCTACTGGTTTGAGCCCCAGCACTGCAAAAAAAAAAAAAGGAGGAAAAGTTGCCAGGGGGTGAACATGTATGTATGTGTGGAATTATCGCAGTGAAACCCCTTCATATTATTAATGTATGCTAATTAAAAAATATAACAAAACTATTTTTTAGAAAGGAAAAAATTCCAGTGTTGTTGGGGCTATATTTTCACAATTGGGGAGCATGGAAAAACAAGTAAAGAAATAAAGGAACACATTATATGGAAAAGCCTCACCAGGGAGGTATCAGGTTAACTGAGATCTAAGCAGCAAGAAGGAATGAATCATATGAAGACCCAGAATCAGAGAAATCCAGGGCAAAGGGAAAATATAAAGTTAGGGCACACGGCATATATGTGACACAGGAAGAAGGTCAATGTGGATGAAAGGTGACAAATTGGCATGAGAATTGTAGGAAAATTATGAGGTAAAGAGAAACCAAATCATATAGAGACTGTAGACCCTGTTATGGAGCTTGGATTTTTTGTCAAGGGGATGAGGACCCACTGAAAGATTTTAATCAGAAGAGTAACATGACTTACACCTTTAAAAGATATGTTTCTGGGTTGGGGATGTAGCTCAGTGGTAGAACCTTTGCCTAGCAAGTGTAAGACCTTGGATTTGATCCTCAGCACCAAAAAAAGGGGAGGAGGGGAGCCTTGCATGGTGGTGCATGCCTATAATCCCATTACTCAAGAGGCTGAAGCAGGAGGATCATGCGTTCAAAGCTAGCCTGTGCTGCACAGCAAGACAAAGAATAGCATAGTCAGCATCAATGGCTCATGTCTGTAATCCTAGGTACTCAGGAGGCTTAGATCAGGAGGATCATGGTTCAAAACCAACCCAGGAAAATAGTTTGTGAGACTCCCATCACAAAAAAAGGGCTGGTGGCACATACAAATATAATAAAAAAAGAACAAAAAAAAAGGCTGGTGGAGTGGCTCAAGGTGTAGGCCCTGAGTTCAAACCCCAATATTGAAAAAAAAAAGAAAGAAAAACTGGAAGCTGATTCTAATAGCCATGGGGAGAACAAATTAAAGGCAGTGAAAATAAATGCAGAAAAGTCAGTTAGGAAGCTATTATAATAATCTAATCACAAGATACCCTATAGAGGAAGAGGACTATTGTATGAGAACATTTTAAAAACAAAACATGTTTCCCTCTAGAAAGATGAAGGCTCTTTAACCCTTTGAAACAATCTTGTGATGTAAGCATCAATCCAGTTTACAAACAGGAGGAAACTAGAGCAGAGATATATCAAATCACTTTCCCAAAGTTACACATTGGTAGGCCAAGACCATACTATTTTCACATATCATAGTAGTCTATCCTCAAGGGGAAGAGGCTGGACCTTATGGTATAAAAACAGAAGGAAAGCCATACAAGCCCATTCCAAAGGTGTTTGATTCACAATTCACACAGGCCATAGTCCCTGGATGATGGGGAGGATTAAGATTTAGTGTTTGGGGCAGGCCTGATTCAATGACTCTGTTGGGCTGGTTCTTAGGGACCCCATCTGGGAGAAATGTGAAGAGGAGGAAACAAATCCAGGATTACAGTCCACTCAATTCTCCCGCTGCCACTTCAAATCTCGAAATGACAGTGTTATCCACATCCTTGTAGAAGTGACCACAACCCAGGGTGCTGTTCACAGCTACCTGGGCTCCCCTTTCTGGATCCACCAGGCTGGTAAGAAGACTCCATTCCTCCCACTTAGTTCCCATCCCCACCAAATATGACTTTATGCACATGATCCCCAACTCTGGCAATTCTGACCCATGGCCCTGGTGACACAATGCCTCATGAACAGAAGGGCTTAAACCAGTCCCTGCTGAAATTCCTGTAGTGCTCCTCCCCACCCCAAGCCTGCACTGGAGGGAGGTCTCCAGTGGGCATCTGGAGTTGGAGTGGCAGCACTCATCATCCTGGGCAGCCCAAGAGACCTGCTATCAGCTCCGATACACGGGAGAAGGCCATCAGGACTGGAAGGTACGATAAAGCAACAAGTGCCTGAAGACTGCTACACAGGGTATTCCTAAGGTCTACCATGTCTCTTATCAGAGGGATTGTGTCCATGTATCCATAGTTGGATTTGTATGTCTATGTTTGTCAGATTCAGCTGGTATCTTAATCTCTCTTGGGCATCTGACAGTGCTGGCTACTGCACTTCAAAAGTTCTCTTCCCTTTGCCTTTGGGATAGCAGTCTCCCCTCATTTTCTTTCCTTTTATTTATTTATTTATTTTGTACTGGGGTTTGAACTCAGGGCCTACCCTTAAGTCATGCCACCAGTCCTTTTCTTGTGGTGGGTGTTTTCGAAATAGGGGCTCATGGAACGATTTGCCCGAGCTGATTTCAAACCGTGACTTTGAACCTCGATCCTCCTGATCTCTGCCTCCTGAGTAGCTAGAATTACAGGCATGAGCCACTGGCGCCAGGCTCCCCTCGTTTTCTTCCTACTCTGACTGAACTTTCTCACCCTGCTTTCAGTGCTCCACCTTTTCCACCCTTTCTTAACAGGTTATGCTTCTTTAAGTCACATCCTAGGCTCTTTCGCCCCTAGATAAACAATACATGCTCTCCCTAGGTGAATGCTCGCCATAGTTCCAATTATTCATATAGAACAACCCCAATTTTATCATTCTAATTCCCATATAGAAAGGAATTTAAGAACCACAGGCAAACTATCTAACCTCTTGAAGTCTCTGCTTCCTTACTGGTGAAGTGGGAATCAAATAGCCAAGCATGCTGGCTCATACCTGTCATCCCAGTTACTTGGGAGGCAGAGATCAGGAGGATCGAGGTTCATGGCCAGCCCCAGCAAAAAGTTAGCAGGACCTCATCTCAGTCAGTAAGATGAGTGTGGCAGTACAATCCTGTCATCCCAATTATGTGAGAGGAATAGGAAGGAAGATCGAGGTCAGAGGCCAGCCCTAGGCAAAAATGTAAGACCTTACCCGAAAAATAACTAAAAACTGAAGAAAAAAAAAAGGGGCTGGGGATGTGACTCAAGTGGTAGAGAACCTGCCTAACAATCATGAGGCCCTGAGTTTAAAACCCAGTACCACAAAAAAAAAAAAAAGTGGGTATAAAGCTATCCACCTTATAGATAAGAGTTTCTTGGGCAGGGAGAGGTCGGCCCGAAAGAGGTTCTCTGTCAGGGTTCTCCATCTGGCACGCTATTGCCCAGGAAGCGAGTTTTCTGCCAGCTAGGCTCCTTATTGTGGGGGGCCCAAGACAGCCTGGGGATTCAAAGTGGTGACATTTTGGTCAAACAGGTGCCAGGTGCTCGAGACCCTGTCCCAGGACCACCACACCCTTCTTCTTTGCGCAGGTGCTGGAGCCGCCTCTCGGGGCCCGGAGGGGAACCCTGGAACTGCGCCCGCGATCTCGCTACAGCTTACAGCTGCGCGCCAGGCTCAACGGCCCCACCTATCAAGGCCCCTGGAGCGCCTGGTCGGACGCAGCGAGGGTGGAGACCGCCTCCGAGACCGGTGAGGTTGGGCGGGGCCAAAGCCAGTCTGTGGCAGAGCAGGAGGCGGGGAGGGGGCGGGGTTAGAATCAGGGGCGGGGCTCTGAGCGCGCCCGTCTGCGGCTGCGCTGACGTGCCGGTGCTTTGGGTGCAGATTCTAGACAGGGTGTGGCGGGCCTGAGGACAGGACCGACGGTCAGCTCTAGTAAAACGATTTTTGTCCCCTAGCCTGGATCTCCTTGGTGACCGCTCTGCTCCTGGTGCTGAGCCTCAGCGCCCTCCTGGGCCTGCTGCTGCTGAGGTGGCAGTTTCCTATGCACTACAGGTACCGCTTTTACTAGGAGGGATACTGGGTGTGGACCCGGCTGGGCCAGTGTCCTCTAAACAGGCATCCTAGGGTCACTTGTCACCGCTCTTCGGACCCCCGCAAGTCCACACCTATAGCTTCAGCTGCTTGCTGCACTCCTTCTCTGGGAGTAGCATGTTCTTCTTCCAGTCTAACATGCCCACTGTACTGGACACCTCAAGGCAGCCCCATGTCCTAGCTACTCATCTCAGTGATAAGGCTATGGTCCAGCCTTAGCCCAAACCAGGACACTTTAGCGCCTCCCCCGCCCCATCCATAAGGCCATCTGGTCTGGTCATTCCACTTCCAAAACCTAGATCAAACAATGGTCTCCTTTCTCTAGACCCACAAGCTACTTGACTCTGAAACAGAGCCTCTTCTCCCTCCAATCTAGCCTCACACAGTCACCACAAAAATCTTTCTAAACTTCATACATGAGCCTATCATTCCACTCCTTAAATCAGTAGCCCAGAAAATCAAGGCTTTGCAAAATCTGCCCCCTGCCCTCCCACCTTCTAGCCTGTGTACTAAGCTTGTCAAACTGTTAGTGATTTCCTCTACCAGTCAGACTGTTTTACGTCTCAGAGCCTTTGCAGATAACGTCCCCTCTGCTTAGAATACCCACCCCTGGCTGACTAATGCGTATTCCTCTTTAAATAACTTTCTTCACCAACTCCTAAGAAACCCTTCCTGACCTTCGTTTATTGGCTACTCTTGTGTGCCACAATAGCTTTTTACTGCATTTCTTTTTTTATTTTTTTTCTTTTTGGTGCTGGGGATTGAACCAGGACTCACACATGCTAAGCACATGATCTACCACTGAGGTACACGCCAGCCCTATATTTATTTCATTACATGTCTTCCCCACTATACCTTACTTGGTCATTTTTAAATCCTCAGTGCGGTGCCTGCCAAGTAGCAGGTCCTTAAATAAATGTTAGTAATGAATGACTCACGTATGTGGAAGTTGAGAAGAATGTCACTGGAAGTTGTAAACATGGAGGATAGAATCCATACCACCTCCTCAGTCCTTCAATTGGTAAGAGCTGCTGATTCTTGAAGACTTACATCAGAATTCAGCTCCTCCAGGCAGTGTGTTTTGGTGGTTCTAGGCTGGCTCAGGTGCCCCTCTTGTTGGTTCGCATCTCTCTTTGAACATGCTTCTCTTTGAACTTTTATTCTGCCTGTGTGTGAGCAGACTGAAAAGAAGCCTCTATGCAGGTAGCAAGATCCAAAAAAATGTTAGGCTGGAGTTGTGGCTCAAGTGATAGAGCACCTGCCAAGAATCCCCAAGGCGCTGAGTTCAAACCCCAGTATCACCAAAAAAAAATGTTATGGAGGGGGAGTGGTGCTGCTGAACTCCAACCAGATAAGTAAGTCACTCCTCTTCCCTGGGAACAGGTCAGAAGTATTCAGCTAAAGTCCTTCCATATGAAAACATGAGGCTAAAGAATTGGAGGTCTCCCCAGTACACCTTAATCTGCACTCCCAGACAGGTGACCCTGTGCAGCAATTTAATAAGAATCTCCATTGATTTTCTTCATTTATTCAAATAATTTCTTTAGTACCTACTATTAGCCAGACACTGGAGAGACAGGAATGAAAAAGTAGACAAACTCTGCTCTCAAGGAGCTTGCACTTAAAACTAAAACAAATATATGTAAAAATACAATAAGTACACAGTAAGTCAAGTGCTATAAAGAAAGATAAAAACAAGCTGCAGAGGTACAATAATGCACTTCTGTAATCCCAATGCTCCAGAGATTGAGGAAGGAGGATCATGAGTTTGAAGATAGCCTGGCTACATAGTGAAAACCTGTCTCAAAAACCAAACAAACAAAAAACAAGAAAAAGCAGAGCAAGAAACAGAAAGTGATGGGGAACTGAGATGTTACTATTAGTAACAAGGAAGGCATCTCTGTCAGGATGATGTACATGTAAGCAGAGACCTAAACGAAGTGAGGGAATCAATTGACTGTTCTAGTCAGAGACAACAGCAAGTGCAAAGGCCCTAAAGCAGGAATGTTTGAGGAAGCTCTACACTACCCATTGTGAAGTTGCCCACCACCAATTTCCCTCTCCTGTCTGAGGTTTTCTTCTCATCTCTACTGTTCTACCTTATTTTATGCTCCTATCTCTTCAAGCCTTACTCCTCTGCCTCACTGCCTCCCCTACTGCCTCACTTCAGCGCTGTCTTCATCCCTCCCAATTCACTCCCTGACTCAGGCTCCTTCTCTTCTTTCTCCCCTAGGAGATTAAAGCATGCCCTATGGCCCTCACTTCCAGATCTGCACCGGGTCCTAGGCCAGTACCTTAGGGATACTGCAGCCCTGAGTCCGGTGAGTGCACCCCCTACCCTATTCTCCCCTCTTCCCACCACCAATATATCTGGTCCCACAATGCAACTTATTCAATGTCCTTGCCTAGCAGCATACCCCCAGCCCAAATCCCCTTCCTAAACAATCCACTCAACCCCATCCCCAGGGTCTGCTCTAAGGCAGCTCCTTTTGCCCATCTCTCCCAGCCCAAGATGACAATCACAGATACCTATGAAGAAGTGGAACCCAGCCTCCTTGAAATCCTACCGAAATCCTCAGAGAGGACTTCGTTGCCACTGTGTTCCTCCCAAGTTCAGATGGACTACAGAGGATTGCAGCCTTCTTGCCTGGTGACCATGCCCCTGTGTATGTGCCCATCCATGGCTGAGTCAGGGTCCTGCTGCACTACCCACATCGCTAACCATTCCTACCTACCACTAAGCTGCTGGCAGCAGCCCTGAAAGCAGGCACCTCACTCCCACTAGCGAGGGTCAGATCTAGGCCTCTCTGCAAACCTCCTTACCCTGCCCCCAACACCTCAGACCTCACCTCTATCACTGTCTACCCACCTTATTAACCTTCACAGCACTAATTTTCCATACTGTTGCTGACAAATCCAGGGCCCTTTCTCAGCAGGCTCATTTGAATTTTACCCTCCTTCTCTCTCCTCTCCAATACCAAACTCCTCCAAAAGAAGTCTCACTTCTACACCTCCTACTGACACTTTAGAGAGTACTTAAATTAGTTCCCCTACTACCACTTTGCTAGTGGAACTGCCCTGGCAAAGTTCACTTCAAATCTTCTAATTGCAAGATCCAATAGGATCTCAATTTATCTGATCTCTAAGTGGTATGACTACTCATTTCTCCTTTAACTTCTCTTCAACCTTGGCTCCCACGGTGTTGCTTTCTCTCCTGGTTCTACTCTTTCAAGTACAGCAGTTAGGAAGCTAAACTCTGGAGTCAGAGATAGGTTCAATTCCTATCTTCCACACTTGCTAACTATGCAGCCTTAGGCAAATTAACTGTCTTTGAGCCTCAGTTTTCTCATCTATAAAACAGAGATAATAACAGCATTCTACAGAGTTGTGAAAATAATTGAGGTAATCTAAGTAAAGCACAGTGCCTAAGATAAACCAAATGTTCTAGGCACACGAATGACCACTGAGTTACAGCCGAAGTTTATTTGTTGTTGTTGCTTTTTTTTTTTTTCGAGACAGGGTCAGGCTAGCCTTGAACTCTAAATCCTCCTGACTCAGCATCCTGAGTACTGGAATTATAGGCATATACTATCATGCCCAGCAAGACTCATTTTGTTTTGTTTTGTTTTGGGTACTGGGGTTTAAACACAGAACCTTCACCTTAAGCTACTCCACCAGCCCTATTTTTGTGATGAGTTTTTTCAAGATAGGGTTTCATAAACTGTTTGACTGGACTGGTTTGGAACCATGATCCTCCTGATCTCTGCCTCCTGAGTAGCTAGGATTATAGATGTGAACCACCGGCACCCAGCTAAGACTCCATTCTTAATATGATCTCCAATCCTATCTATTCTCACTGCATTTGCTCTATGTTGACCATTCCAAAGGTTTTAGCTCCAGCCCAGACTTTTACTACAACACCTGTGGTGCTCTGTGCAGGCAACTGTTTACATGTCTGTCTTTTGCTACTAGAGCGTGTTTCTTGAGACCAAGTACTTTCCCCCAAGCACCTAGAATACAGTAAGCCCACTTTGTTCACACATTTATTACAGTTTTTACTATGTATGGTCAAAAATAAATTTAAAAATCAAAAGAAATTTCAAAAATTAAAATATTGAAATGCCTGAATGTGCACTATGCAGCCCGGTTGGTGCAGAGAAGCTCTCAGTCTGTCCTTTGTTATCATTGGTTGTGTTTAAATTGTTGGGTGATCTGCTGAGTGTTTCTCTGCCCTTAATTTTATGGAAAATAAACCTCCCAAAAAGCAAGGTAAAAATTACTGTGCTTAAACTTTAAGTGATAAAGTTAAACTTTTCAATTTGTTGGAAGGCGGCGTGTCTTTAGTGGAAGTTGTGCATTGTTATGGGAAAAATGATTTAAGCATCTTCAGTACAGCACAGAACTCTTTGCATCCTAAGCCTTCTCCGTTTTTCCTCAAGGGCAGTCTCCTTGGAACCACAGATACCAAGGGTTAGTATGCTGTTTGGTACATGATAGTGGGCCTTCAATAAATGTTTTCTAAAGAACGAAATCTTTCCGGACAATGTTACCCTAATCCCATGCCAACTTCCCTTATCCTCTAAGTCATTCATATGCAGTGGTAAATGTACTTAAACTACTCAAGCTATGAATTCCCCTAACCCACTCAAATTCTCAAACAAATGTTTTTCTGCTTTTTTTTTTTTTCCTTTTTCTAGCTCCAAATATACCCACTGTATTAGTCAGGGTCTTGGCAGAAGTAAATGGCACAATCAACTGGGTAATTTGATGAGTTTATCATAGGGCGTATTTACAAAGATGAAGGCAAGATTTGGGAAAGCCATCAAGGAATATGGCAGTATCCCAAGCTAACAACAGAGAGCTGGCACCAATCCTAGACATCAAGGAGTAAGGAGAGGGGTGGTTACCAGACCTGGAGGGGGATATGGCCTTTGGTAGAAGGGAGCCAGGGGAATAACAGGAGCTCAGGCTCATGCTTTTCCCACACTAGCCTTGAGTGGCTACAAGTCAGAGCTTTTTAACATGGCTGGGGGAATGAATTATGTATATCCTGTAGCCATGTATTTGCCCTAACCATACTCATTCTCCAACCTTCTACAACTTTCTCTGTTTCTGCAAGGCTGAATCAAATGGGCTGTATCAGTGGATTACCCTAGACTCTGGTTTCTGTTTGGGTTCCAGGAATGGGAGGATATTATGTGTTGAATTATGTCCACCTCAAAATTCAACCCCTACTACCACAAATGTGACCTTATTTGGAAATAGGATCATTGTATAGCTAAAATGTTGTTACAGCCCTAATCCAGTATGATTGACTGGTATTCTTATAAAGTTTGTAATTTTTTTTTGTTCATTTATTCACATGTGCATACATTGTTTGGGTCATTTCTTCACCCAAACTTGTAATTTTATAAGCAATGGACATTTGTAATCCCAGCCACTTGGGAGGTGGAGATGAAGAGGATGGAGGTTCAAGGCCGGCCTGGGCAAAAAAAAAGTTGGGTGTGATGGTGCACACCTATAATTCTACCTATGAGGGAGGCATAGGTGGGAGGATGGATATGAATTTCCCCAACACACACACACACACCTCACCCCAGGGCAAGACAACAAAAAAATTCAAAACTTGTAAGACCCTATCTGGAAAAATAGCTAAGGTAAAAGGTGTGGAGGTGTGGCTCAAGTGGTACGCTTGCCTAGCAGGCGTGAGGCCCTCAGTTCAAACCTCAGTACCACCACCACCAAAAAAGAAGTCGTCATATGAGCACCAGATTGAATGGGAATCAGCCCTTGATTCCTACCAACGACTTTGTATGACCGTGGGCAAATTACTTCCCTAAGCCTTCATTTCTCCATCTGTAAAATATGGACCTGTGGCACCAAGCACGGGCGAGACAGGATCTCTAAGATTCTTGACACTTCTAAAGCCCCAGAGTGTAAGCCATTGAATCGCCCATTGGTTAGGCCAGTCTTTTATCTTTCAGATAGGCAGGTTTGAATCCTGATCCTTTTTCTTAGCCTTACGGAGTTCGCTTCCCCTCTTTCAGCCCCATTTTCCGTGATGATAAAAACAAAAGCAAAACCACACAAGTGTTAACTTCTTCCTAGCGGGGCTCCTGGGGTGCATCCTAACATGCCTTGGCCTCCTTTCCTGCTCCTAGGCGTCTCTACCCCTACCTTTCCTTTCCCTTCTCTGAATTGCTTAAGGGCTCTGGGTCACTGCTCCCAGTTCTGCACCTTTGTACCATAAATACAACCCACAAGCCGGCTGTGTGAGCTTCCTCATGCACCCTGACCTACACAACAAGCTCGCGGCAGGTGTGGGGATGTGAAGGAATGAATGGAAGCGTCTTCAGAACGCAGGCTCCGCCTGCGTCTGCGCCCTGATGCGATCGGACTTCCAACCTTCAGAGCCAGGCTTTGGACTTCTCTTACCCTTCAAATCACGCGGCACTCTCGTGAGATCGGAGACTTCCCCGGAAGACCCGCCCCCTATGCCTCAGAGACCAATATGCTAGGGCGACGGTTGAGACGGTTGGGTTTTGAAGAAGCCAATGAACGTCCGGAGCGGAGAGTTTAAGAGAAACAGGCCAGTGGTGCTGAAGCTGGTCGGCGATTGGAACCTGCTCGGGAACGCACGGTGAGTAGCCGTTGGACCGAGTCTGGGCAACCGAGCCGGGGGATGCTAGGCAAGGAGGGGCTGTCGCTGGGTGGGGGTGGGGTGAACGGCTTTGATTGTGAGGCTGGCTGGGAACAGAGGCCCCCCCGTGCCGTCCTCGAGCACGGTCGCTTCTTCCCCCAGGGCTCAGCAGGCACCCACTCCAAGACCCCTTCCCCTCCAGGCGCTCCCATGGCGCAGTTCGTGTTCGAGAGTGACCTGCATTCCCTGCTTCAGCTGGACGCGCCCATCCCCAATGCACCCCTCGCGCGCTGGCAGCGCAAAGCCAAGGAAGCGGCTGGGCCGGCCCCCTCACCCATGCGGGCCGCCAACCGATCCCACAGCGCCGGCAGGACCCCGGGTCGGACCCCTGGTTAGTGCATTGGGGCTGGACACCGGGCGGGAGAGGGAATGGCTGAGAGCGGCTTTCATGCTTCCTCTTTTGGGAGCCTGGTCAGACTGTCTGGCTTCTCTTTTCCCTGCCCCAGGCAAGTCTAATTCCAAGGTTCAGACCACCCCTAGCAAACCTGGGGGTGATCGCTATATCCCCCACCGCAGTGCTTCCCAGATGGAGGTGGCTACCTTCCTCCTGAGCAAGGAGAACCAACCTGAAAACAGCCAGACGCCCACCAAAAAGGTATGTTTCCCAGAGGGGTGGAAGGCATGGGACCTGACTGTGTAACTTGGGGACGAGCCTATCTCACCACCATCCTTATGTGCCAGGAGCATCAGAAAGCCTGGGCTTTGAACTTAAACGGTTTTGATGTGGAGGAAGCCAAGATCCTTCGACTCAGTGGAAAACCACAGAATGCCCCAGAAGGTAAGACCTGAAGTTCTTGAAGGCTGGTGTCACTCCATCTCCCCAGGCTTAGGGAGGTGCTTGTCTGTGCTTCCCAGCTAAGACTGAGGGCAAGAGAGGTGTCAGTTTTCCCTGGGTCTCACCCACTCCATTGCCACAGGCTACCAGAACAGACTGAAAGTACTCTACAGCCAGAAGGCCACGCCTGGCTCCAGCCGGAAGACCTGCCGCTACATTCCTTCTCTGCCAGACCGGATCCTGGATGCCCCTGAAATCCGAAATGACTACTGTAAGTGCTGCAGCCTTGTCCTTGGATGGGTAAAGATGGTCTGGGGACCAGGCAAACAAGAAAGTTCATGGTCTTCCCTTTCTGCCTCTGGCAGACCTGAACCTTGTGGATTGGAGCTCTGGGAATGTACTGGCTGTAGCGCTGGACAACAGTGTGTACTTGTGGAATGCGAGTTCTGGTGACATCCTGCAGCTGTTACAAATGGAGCAGCCTGGGGACTATGTATCTTCTGTGGCCTGGATCAAAGAGGGCAACTACCTGGCTGTGGGCACCAGCAATGCTGAGGTGCAGGTAAGATTGGTTGATCCCTGCACTGTAGCTCTGTTGTCACCAGATCCAAGGATTAGCTTGCACAGCTAGAGAATGTTAGTGCCAAGCCCTAATCTCTGATCCTAATGGTCTTGTCTCTGCAGCTATGGGATGTGCAGCAGCAGAAACGGCTTCGAAACATGACCAGCCACTCTGCTCGAGTGAGCTCCCTAAGTTGGAACAGCTATATCCTCTCCAGGTCAGTGGTTTTTGCCAGTCTATAGCAAAATCAGTGATTTCTGTCTACCTACTGCCCCTGGCATAGACCTGAAATGAAACAGCTTTGGCTTGTGTTTTGTGCTGCCACACATACACAGACCCTAAATCTCTTCTTCTCTTCCTCAGTGGCTCACGTTCTGGCCACATCCACCACCACGATGTTCGGGTTGCAGAACACCATGTGGCCACGCTGAGTGGCCACAGTCAGGAAGTGTGTGGGCTGCGCTGGGCTCCTGATGGACGACATTTGGCCAGTGGTGGCAATGATAACTTGGTCAATGTGTGGCCTAGTGCTCCTGGAGAGGGTGGCTGGGTTCCCCTGCAAACATTTACCCAGCATCAAGGGGCTGTCAAGGTGAGAGGGGTTGGGCTGAGTCCTCTGCTGGACCCCTAACTCTAACCTGAAGGAAGATGGGATGGTGGGACTGGACTGAGTTTTCTGTGACCCCTATGGCTCCTTATCTATTGCTCTACTACCTGCTGACCCTGCCTTTATATCCTGCCTAGGCTGTTGCGTGGTGTCCCTGGCAATCCAATATCTTAGCAACAGGAGGAGGCACCAGTGACCGACACATTCGCATCTGGAATGTCTGCTCTGGGGCCTGTCTGAGTGCTGTGGATGCCCATTCTCAGGTAGTTTTACCTATTCCAGCCTCTCACTCCATGTGTGTTCTTACTCTACATGGTCTTCCTGGGCAACCATGTCCACTCCATTGTCTTCACCAACTCTGTACCCTGATTATTCCCAGATTTCTCACCCAGCTCTCATTCATGAACTCCTATGTCCAAATCTGGTTTCTCTCCAACCCTATGTCTTCTAGATACTGCCACATCCAAATTAAACTTGTCATTTCCCCTTGCTACCCTGAAATGTATTCCTCCTCCTCTTTGTGTATGATTTCAGGAAGATGAACCTGCTCAGAAATATAAAAAGCCGCCTAGAATCTTTTTATCTTCCTTACCAGGATCTATCAGTTTTACCTCAGAGTATCATTGATAACCATTACCTCCCCCTCACCTCTCCTTCCCAGGGGAGGCCCACAGCAATGGCTTCCTCATTGGTCCCTAAGCACTTTTTTTTTTTCTTTTGTGGGACTGAGGTTTGAATTCAGAACTTCACTCTTACAAAGCAGGCACTCTACCACTTGAGCCACACCTCCAGTCCATTTTGCCCTGGTTATTTTGGAGATGGGCTGTCCTCAAACTGCAATCCTCCCAATCTCAGCCTCCCAAGTAACTAGGATTACACAGGCACAGTGGTTTCCTCATGAGCCTCCAGTGCCTGACTCCAAGCATTCTTTATCTCCCCTAATTTGTTCTCTACGTTCTAAGTGGTCTAATACTGTTCTCCTTACACCTGTAATGGCTCCCATCACCTATAAAATACAGTCCAAATTTATTAGAAGGATATTTGAAGCTCTTTCTGGAAGGCTTCCCTGCAATCTCTCTAGAGACTGGTGGCTCAAGTTCACATTCTCATTTTTCCTAACTTAATTTGCACATAATTTAGTCAACTTACTGAACTTCTGATTGATTCATTTGTAAAATGGATGATAAAATTGTCAAAGGACTTTCTGTAAGAACTGTAAGATTCAAGTCTTGAGAGACTTATACCCATGCCAAGTTTTCTCCACAGGTGTGTTCTATCCTCTGGTCTCCCCACTACAAGGAGCTTATCTCAGGCCATGGCTTTGCCCAGAACCAACTGGTTATTTGGAAGTACCCAACCATGGCCAAGGTGGCTGAGCTCAAAGGTAGGTGGCTAAGTGAAAGAAGTTAAACAGAAAGGCCACATATTGTATTACTCCATTTTTAATGAAGTGACCAGAATAGGTAAATGTAGATAAAATATTTTAATTGTTGCCAGGGGCTGAGGATAATGGAAGTGATGAAAATGTTTTGGTATTATATTTAGTTGTGCACAATTTTGTTAATACACTTAAAAACCACTAAATTGTACATTTTAAAAGGATAAATTTTATGGTATATGTGGCCTGTATTTCCAGGTGACAATCAAAATGTCTACATTCACATGTACTGCTCATTTGCCTCAGGTCACACAGCCCGGGTCCTCAGTCTGACCATGAGCCCAGATGGGGCCACAGTGGCATCAGCAGCAGCAGATGAGACCCTGCGGCTATGGCGCTGCTTTGAGCTGGACCCTGCTCGAAAGCGGGAGCGGGAGAAGGCCAGTGCAGCTAAAAGTAGCCTCATCCACCAAGGCATCCGCTGAAGACCAACCCATAACCTCAGTCTTTTTTATTATTACTATTGTTGTTGTTGTTGTTGTTACTTTTCTAATAAAGTCAGGTCCCCCTTTCTTCTCTTGGCAAAACCAATGTTCTAGCAGGGGTTTTCCCCTACTGTCTTTGGAGCTAGAAACAACTTGTGGGAGCCTTCACCATCTCTTCTGTTTGGAGACAGGGCTAAAGTAGACTGTATACCCCACCTCCAATCATACATGTACACACACAGGCACAGTGGTTTCCTCTGTCACTTTAATTAAGACACAAGTGAGTATGCAGCCTCCTCACTCTGTATTCCCAGGCCCCCTGCCCACCCTGACCTTTGGCCTAGAAGCTCTTGCTTCTGCATGGGGCTGAAGAAGGAGCCTGAGTCCATAGTGACAGATTATTGCTGACCTCTCTTCAGTGTGAGGAAAAAGCCCACAAGACCCTGGTGGGGGCCAGCCCTGAGTGTTCCTCTCCCAAGTTAAAGACAGGGAGGGGGAAATAAGTGTCCAGCCCTTTTAGCCCCCAACTCTGGTGGCAGAGGGCAGTGAGCCCACATCCCTGGAGCTGGCTGGGAGAAGTGGGTGAGGAACGGACACTGCTCCCTGTACACCAGTCTCCTGCTCGGTCCTGACCATATGAGCTCTGGTCACAGGTGTAGGTGGGGAGGACACTTGGTGGATGCTGCCTAAGGTGCAGTCCTGAGGCACTTAGGTGGGCGCCTATCCTAGGCCATGCTTCTCAGTTGGCCTTGACCTTGGCAATACCTGGTGCTCCATTTTGTTGAAGTGCCCGGGGCAGTCGCTTGCCCTTGGTGTAGGAGTGATACCAGAAATTGGAGAACAGCACAAAGAAGATGGTGCCATACATCCAGATGAGGTGGATAATGATTGGGTACTGGTAGCTACAGCTGGGCATGAAGTAGTACTGGGAGATATGCAGTGAGACCAGGACAAACTGGATCTAGGATAGAGAAAGGAAAGGCTCAGGAGCAGTGAAGATGAGGGGATAGAGAAAGATACTGAGTGGGGTCAAAGATGAGACAGGCTGGATAAAGGAAGGATCCAGACTAGGATCCTTGGGGTTACAGGCCCACCAGGTTCCTCACCAGCTGAATGGCTGTCATGTACTTTTTCCACCAAAGGTAGGGCTGAGCCACAGGGCCAAGTGCAGACAGTCCATAGTACAGGTACATGACAACATGCACAGAGGAGTTTATCATGGCATGGAAAGATCCCATTCCTCCTGTGAGGAGAAAGCAAAACGGTAAGGAGAGTTGGGCCTCTGCTCCCAGTGGCCACCCCTTTTCCCCAATGGTCCTCACCACTCACCTGGAGCAACCATTACACCCCACCACCAACTCCAGGGAAGCACTGAGTGATGGAAGACATGTAGGAAGGTCACCTGCCCGTCTTTCTTCCGGAGAATAAAGATCACCTGAGAAAAGAGTGGGATAAGAGTTCAGAGCCAGGGCCGTTCTCCTTTTCTTCCCCCAGCTTCTCACCATGTCTATTAACTACTTACCGTGTCTATCAGCTCAATGAACTTGGAGAAGAGGAAGAGCCAGGCCACTCGAACCATCTGTGAGAAGTCAGAATAGCCTTAGTACTCCACACAGTACTCAAAGAGCCTTCCGAAACGGGGCCATGAGCACAGGCCATACCCTCACTGCTTCCATTCTCCAGGTTGCTTATGACTTACCCTAGTCCCTACTTACCCGAAGTGCCTCAGGACTGTTGGAATAGTCCACAGGGTCACAGCGCCAGGTATATGTACTCAGCCAGCCAGACATCAGGAACTAGGAAAGGGTGTGGATTAGACCACCAGAGACACCCCTCTCCCAGTAAACCCTTCCCTTCACTAGCTGAAGAAATGGGTATGAACTTCTCTGGAAAGGAGAGATGCTACACTCTGGCCCTATAACACACCCCTTATCCTGCTGGCAGGAAGTAAATCCTGAGCATCTTGGCTCACCTCATAGACAATGTAGAGGGAGAGTGCCACCAGAGAAAAGTTGTAGACAATCATGAAGCCTCGGAGTTGGAAGGGTTTCCGATTAGCCATGATACGAGGCCCAAGTTTGAGGACAAAGTACACGTAGGTCAGGAGAATAGAAGTCATCAGCAGTGGGGACCCCATGAGAGGGTAGTTCTGGACTCGGGGATCTATGAATGAGGGTCAAAGGAGTCAGAAAGGTTCACAGAGTTCAAAGGAGCCTCATCAGGTCTATAGACATGAGGTCAGATCACTAAGGGTCAAATGATAAGGACTCTTCATTATGACAGCCCAAGATCCTGGGATCCCAGGGAAGATGGGAGGGAAAGTCTGGTGGACAGCATCTTACCTGCATGCTTCATCATCTGCTGGTACAAGTTCACAACAGCTTCCATCCTGGCTAAGAATTCTGGGGAGAGATGGAGGGTGGATGTCAGACAGGACCCACTGCATGCTCCCATCCCACACCTGACCCACAGAGACAAAACAGACAAGATGACTCTGAGACCTCGTTGAGAAAGGTCAGGGCCAGGGATGTAGCTTAGTGGTAGAGAGCACTTGCCCAGCATGCACAAGCACCACATACACACACACACACACACACACACACACACACACACACACACAAAAGCAGCAACATAGTAAAAGAAAGGAATTGCTAGAGACTAGGAGGAGGCACTTTGGTGGGGGCATCTGCTCCCCATGCATCCTGCCAGCCTGGAGAAGGCTGTTCGGCCTTCCTCTTCACACCTTACTCTCCTCTCTACTCCTCTCCAGGGAATTTTACCTCCTGGCATCCCTCCCATCTTCCTCCACGAGAGAACTCTGTGATCTCTTTCCTGGTATCCAGAGCTTTCCCTCCTCACCAGCAGAGAACTCATCTCCAGAATGAACCTCCTCACCTTTCCTTAACAAATCTCTCACCTCCCCAGATCTGAGAAGTCAATCTTCTCTCCAAGATTCTTGCCTTCAATCTCTCCTCTCCTGCCCCCTCCTCTCCCAGATCCCTGTCATCTCCCCAAGGTCCCCCCCTCGCCCCTACCAGGACTCACCTCTTACTCCCTTCTGTTACTTCCAGAACCTTACCAGCCTGGAGTTCCTCCTCTCCCCTGCTAGTCACTTATCTCCCTAGGTCTGCTTTCCGGGGATCTTACCTCCAGCCTCTCCTCCCTGCTGGTGTGCTCTTCTCTCCAATCCTTTCCTCTCGGGAGCCTGGCTCTTTGAGACTCCTGCCCTAGCGGCTCCACCTGTCTGACTAGATCTGGAAGCAGCCCCGCCCTCCACCCGCCCCCGCTGTATTGGACATGGGGTGGAGGGTGGGTCCAGGCCACAGGTCAATGCCTAGGGGAGCAGGACTCACCAGAATTGGGAAAGCCAAGTAAAGCCCCAGACTCACCACCCACCTGTCCGAACCAGCCAAATGAGCTAAGGCCCTAGGATCTCCAGAAACCTCTTGGCCCTGGCCCTAGCCTTGGTCCAAGGAATTGCTAAAAAATTCACACCCAGCATCCTCTCCCGAACAAGCCATGAATTCTCAGTTTGTCCTACTTCAGAATGGGTACAATCACCCTTCCCTTCCAGGGAAGGGCAAGGAAGCCAGTGGCATGTGAGGAGGTGCGAGAATGGGGGTGGTCTCAAGAATCTTCCCCTCCCTCTGGGAGGGGTACTAATGGGCTAGGTCCCCTCCTCCTCAAAGCTGAAGGAATGTCGGGGGAGGCCTCACAGGGACACTTCTACCTAGACCCAGGAAAGCCTGGGTCCCAGAAGGACCAGGCAATTACCCAATAGCTAGGGTGGTGGGTGGGCCCAGTTCCCTCCATCCTGAGACCCACCAAGGCCTGCCATCCACATCCCTCACACTCAAACACACCTGCCTCTCACACAGCTCTTTATCATCCCAAGGACGTGTGTACTACACCAAGGGCTAGCACACATCCACACACCTCCTGCTAGCCATAAGTGCCCTGCCTCTGACACACCACCCAAACTGGCCTCCATGAACCATGACATGGGGTTTACTAAGCCTCACACCTACAAGGGACTGCACTCGAAGTGGCACTCACACATCACCATGCACAACCCCAGCAGCATGGTGTGCAAAAGCATATGCTCAGAGAGATGATGAATATCCGATCAGTCACATCACACACGGACAAGCACCTCCCTCAGTCACACAGATCTCTTGGCGGGCAACATTTCTTCACCCATACTCAGATTTTTGTTGGTGGCCTATGCCACCAACAGAGTGCTTAGCCTTGTGCTCTCACACACAGTTCCTCTCACGAACTGTGAGCTAGCTTGTTTGCTAGCTCCTTATCTCCCTCAAGCATCCCCCCCTAAGCACACTCCCCACCCCACACTCAGGCACCTTGGAGGGCAGGAGGGACTCAGGCTTCTGAGAAGGACCTCTCCCAAAGTTTAAGGGAAATTCGGGTGTGTCTCCCACAGGGGAACTCAGCTGGTTCCTTCCTTCCTTTAAGATGGATGGAAGGAAAAAGGACACCAGGGAAAGGAAAGGAAGGGGAAGAGAGGAGAGGCGGGAGAGGGGTAAGCCCAGAGGTGGGGGAGGAAGGCCTAAGTATGAGCAAACGGGGGCTAGAAACAGAGGTGCCGGGGGAGGGAGTGTGCTGGCGAGGCCCGGCCCCAGCAGCTGGGACCTCCCACCCACTCGCCCCAGGAACAGTCTCGCCCACAGCCCCGGCTGGGCAGGGCAGGGTAGGGCTGAGCTAGCTAGGAAGGGGGAGCCGGCACGTGGGGAGCCATGGAAGGTCCAGACTCACCAGTGGGGGCCAGGCGGGCAGTAATGGAGGGCTCGGAGGGAATAGGGCCAGAGAGAAGTCCCTAAGGCCAGCCTGCCGGCCACTTCCTCATCTGCTGGGCCGACTTTCTGTCACCAGAGGGGTAGTGGGCGGGCCGGGCAGGGGGCGCCTGCTGATTGGGCGGCCGGTCGAGGCAGGAGGGGCAGTCCAGCGCCCGCTTGGCCGCAGGGGCGGGGGTAGGGGCGGGCCGCCAGATCCTGGGGCAGGAAGCGCACCCAGCCCCGGCTCCCCACCCCTTCCCTCATTTCTCCTAGCCCGCCTCGCGGGTGGCTGCGGCCTGGCCTGCCTCCGGAGCACCCAGCTTCTTCCTGACGTCCAGCCTCCGATGGTCCCATTCTTGGCCCTCTGGCCAGTCCAGTAACAGGACTCAAGACATTTGCCGCCGGCGGCAGGCCCAGCTTAGGGCTCTAGGGTTCCAGGATTCAGCCCTTCCCTCAGATGGGGGTCCAGCTTTGCGCACTAAGGGCTGATTGGGATGTCGGGGAGGCGTTAGCGGGAGGAAAAAGCCGGCCACAAATGCCTCCTCTCTGAGCCTATAAACTTGGATGAGCCCTAGGTTAGAGCAAAGAACTCCTGCAACAGAGGTGGGAGAATACAAGTGGCCCGGGGCAAGATCAGTGAATCACTGGCTAAACTAGCCTTCAACGTAGTGAAAGGGAAAAAAGGGAAGTGCGGTTGGCTATGGCTGAAGGCTAAATGGGGCACTCTGACTTTTGTTGTAGAAGCAGAGAACTGAAGATTTTTTAGGAGGGTATAATCAGGGTTGTATCATTCATCAAACGTTTATTGACCACACACAGTGCCAAGACCATGTTAAGCTCTGGTGACACTCAGCATTTATATGTCTAGCTACCAGAGTACTGGACAGAGACCATGTGAGAGACAACAGCCAGCTCTAAGGAGGAAACTTAATAGGACTGGAGGAGGCAGAGAATGTGGGGATTTCCTCAGGGATGTACCATTCTCTATTTAGTTGTCAATTCTATACCTCACTTCACTCACCAACTAAAGTGAACTGTAGGGGGTACGGACCAGTTTCAATCAAATGAAACTACAGCAGCTCTGGGAACAGTGCTTTGCATACAGTGATCCAATAACTGCTTGTACAATTGGATAGCATAAATGTGAACAGAACTGAGGAATTGGCTAGGATGGATAATATAGTCATGCATGATAGGATGTAGCTACATAAATGTTTTCATCCTAGAGCTTAGGTAAGAGGTCAAAGTCAAAGTACATCCCTGAGCCAGTCCATTAGTACCTACTCTTGACAGGAAATGGCAAAGGTATACTTAGCATTGTGTACTAAGGCATTACCTGATCTAGTCCCTATTTCATCCTTTCATTCTACTTGTGTCACTCTTCTAAATCACTCTTCCAGTGCTTTAACTGTCCCCAAAGGATGTCAGCTTTTATACTCCTCCAACCATCAAGCATTGCCCCCTAGCTTAGCACAAGATGCAGTCAGGTCTCCCAGGCAATGTCATTCCCTCCTCTTGTTCCACAAATTTATTGTAATGTTATTATCTGCATCTCCTCCCTCCCCAACTATAAACTCAGTGGGTTCCTTCCCTCCTTTAAGATGGATGGAAGGAGCTGGGTGCCGGTAGCTCACTACTGTCATCCTATCTACTCAGGAGGCAGAGATCAAGAGGATCAAGTTTGAAGCCAGCCCAGGCAAATAGTTTTCTAACTATTTAGATAGAGAACCCATCACAAAAAAGGACTGGTGGAGTGGCTCAAGGTGTAGGCCCTGAGTTCAAACCCCAGTACAACAACAAAAAGACGTTAAGGCCTAATGTCTTCCAGGTATACTCTAGTAGCTTTCAGGTCAGACCTGACTCCAAAGTCCTAAGTTTAAATGTTTCAATTACTGCCTGTGTGACCTTATATAAATTTCAGAACCTTTATAAAATGGGAACAATAATAGCACTTATCTCATGGAATTATTGGGAGGATTAAAGGAGATAACCCAAGATAACCCAGAGATAGCATTATCTCTGTCTCAATATTAATGCTCAAAGGTGGGTGTGCACTCCTGCAATCCCAGCACTTAGGAGGCTGAGGCAGGAGGATCAGGAGTTTGAGGCCAGCTTGTCTCAAAAAAAAGACAAGGTGAGGAAGCAGCCCAATATGTCAACAAGGTATATGCATATATGCTTATACGTAGATTCATGAACATTCATTTAACAAATCTTTCCTAAACACTGTGCCAAGGTGCCAAGCATTGTTCTGAGAGCACTATCGAGAGGTTCTGAATTATGTGTCCAGTATGATGTCCAATGGAGACAAAGAAGACTGAAGAAACTGTCCCCAAATCTAAACAAGTTAGTGACAAGAAATTTCAGCTGTACCTTTATTCACCCAATAAATGATCATGGCAAGACTTCAGTAAGTGTTGGTTAACTAAATGACCATGCTCAGACTCTTTATAGCACACAGTATTGCCACAGAGATAAAACCAAAGCGTTATGAAAGGACTGAGGGGAGGGGCTAGCCCAGGGTGGGCTTTCTTGAAGTCTTCACAGAAACAACACCTAAGTTAAACTAATGTTCAGACAGAGGGAAGCAAATATGTGAAGGGAGGAAAGGTAGGTGGAAGGCAGTTGATGAAGAGTCTTGTAGCCATGATAAGAAGTTTGGATCTTGGACTGGGGGGATGGCTCAAGTGTTATGCCTACCTAGCAAGCAAGCATGGGGCCCTGAGTTCAAACCTAGTACTGCAAAAAAAAAAAAGTTTGGATTTTATTTTTATATATACAAATATGTATGTCTGTCTGTATATTTTGAACCAGGACCTCACTATGCAGCCAATTCTGGCCTCAAACACAATCCTCAGCCTCCTTAGTGCTGGGATTATAGAGGTGTACCACCACACCTGGCCTCTGTTTGTATTTTTCAGCCCTGGTTGTACATTAAAATCACCTGGGAGCTTTTAAAATATCAGTGCCTGGCTGTCATCTCCAGATTGATTCTAATGGTTGTTTTTAATAAGAAGAGGCTGGAGCCTGTTTAGATGCTGTATGGAAGGAAACAACGGGATGCACTACTCATGCAAAGGAACTGGCCTCTGGCTGGGGAAAACACCTCACAGACTGAAATGTATGGAAATGACAAGTAAGTCTGTCAGTGGATTAGGAGAAAACTGAGGAAGTTTTCATCTAAAGGAGTCGATTTTCCCTTCAATCAGAAGGTGAGGCAGCCAGGCATGATAGCTTATGCCTGTAATCCTAGCTGATTGGGAAGATCATGGTTCAAGGCCACACCAGGCAGTTTGTGAGACGCCCCCCATTTCAAAATCTTACAGTGGTAGAGTGCCTGCTTTGCAAACCTGGAAGCCCTGAATTCAAACCTCAGTCCCACAAAAAAGAAAAAAAGGTGAGGCATTTGCTGAGCATGAGGGGTAGCAGGAGTTTCAGAAGGTAGTAAAAAGTCTGGCATGGTATAGCTGATGATGAGGACGAGGCAGACTCAGTGGACAGAGATGAATGCCCCACCATAAAGAATAATGTTCTCCAGTAGAGCGGCTTTTTGTTTTGTTTTGTTTTGAGGTAGGATCTTGCTATGTAGCCCAGGTCAGACCTGACTCCAAAGTCCTGAGTTTAAATGTTTCAATTAGTGCCTGTGTAACCTTATGTAAATTTCAGAACCTGTATAAAATGGGCAAATAACAGCACCTATCTCACAATCCTCCAGCTTCTACCTCCAGAGTGCTGGGACTATAGGCATGTACCACCATGCCCAGCTCCCAGCAGAGTTTAGGAAGTGGGAGGTAGGAGGGAGGACAGAAATGGGACTGGTTAGTATCTACAAAGAAGCTAGATGGAAGGACTTGGAGGTGAGAGGACAGGACTTAGGGAAGGCTGGTTAGAAAGAAAACCAGCAGGCTGACAAACTGGAGAAACTGAACCCACAGGCTTGATGAGGATGAAGGACTGGCTAAACTTCCACCTCCTTCATGGAGCCTTCCTGACTCATGGGAAGTGAAGAGACAACTTCCCCTGGGTTCCACCCTGTCTGAGTCACTCCTCACTCACTGCTCTCTAAGGGGCCCTTCTCTGTCTTTTCCCAGAAGATAAACCAGCGATGTTCTTTCTCCAAGGGTTCAGCCTGAAAGCTATCACTTGTATGAAGTCTATCAACTCTATTACCATGACTGTTTGAGGCTTTGTGTTTCAGCAGAAAAATTAAATCAAAGTGAGATTTTAGAGAAGCAGGAATGGCAAAGAGGAAGAAATGGAGAAAGGTATGCCTACATGTTTGTGGGTGAGTGAGTAGGCAGTGGAGGGAATTGAGTATGGAACTCACAGGACAATCAGCTACAAGCAATAGGAACTGAGGGTCTTGGCAAGGACAGAAGGAATGGCAAGGGAGATGGAAGCAGCCTCCTGGGGGATATGTCAAGCATTTTTTTTCCCCCATCCTGTAAAAGACAAAGGGCACTTCCTACACAGTACCACACCTCCCACTGGGAGGACAGGAGAGCAAAGATAAGGGCAAAGGGTTTGCCTGTTAATCATTCTGAATACCCTGGGTCTTAGCCAGCTAGCTGGTATCCTCTTCCTAAGAAAGCTGGGACCATGGATTTAGGAAAGCCATCTGCCTGGCAGAAGGGAGAAGACTGCATACAAACACTCATCTATCATTAAGAACTGGAAGGTGTGCCTGGACCCTTAAAAGGTCACAGACAAGGTCTGGTCCATCAGTGGGTAACCAGTGCCACATACTATAGATATCACTTAGTGTTTGCTGAGCTGAAGAAACATAGGAAAGGGAAGAGGAAGAGCTGTGGAGAGAAAAACGGGGAGGCTTTTTGTTAGGAACAAACAAAAGCAGACTATCAGGATGGAAGAAAGAGTAAGATGTGAAAAGGGCCAGAAGTGGAAAAGAGAAGCTTGTTATTCAGTACTCTCTCTGACAAGCACAGGGTCAACTGCCTCCATATGTTCTTATTGTTGAATTTTGTAAGGTCACTACTATTATCACTTCTTAGCAGAAGAAAAAAATGGAATCAGAGGTTGAGTTTATTCAAAGTTACATAGCAAGCAAGGTAGAAGCAACATAGACATTGCAGGCTGAGGAAAAACACATAAACAAAGGAATGGATGGACCCAGGAA